ATACTGTGATGAAGATTTTAAACTGAATTTGAGAGATCTAAGTGTTGTTTATTGTTTTTAAATATAAATTAGATATTAACGTAATATTTAAATATTACTTTAAAATTTTTATGTTATTATAATTTATATTACTTTTAAATTTTTATATTATTAAATTTACATTACAATTTACATTACTTTTAAATATTTACATTATTAAATTCACATTACAATTTACATTACAATAACACACTATATACTATTACAATTTTAATAATACAATTAAATATTACCTTAAAAGTAAACATAACCACTAAACATAAAATTTTTTTCTCTTAATAAATTAACGACGTAGTATCGATCATAGTTACGAAATAAATCATAAGGCAACAGTTAGCTTGTCATTTTTTTATTTTCAACAATTTTGCTGACAATATTCACTACGTACGTTTCCATGTCGCTGACGTGAGAAGCGGACTGTACCTAACCTAGAAACCCGTCCATGAGAAATAAACGAGTTTCCTCTCTACAAGATTTTCGTACACCTATGGTACTAGTCTGTCGTTTGCCGCGTTTGGCGGGATTTGCTCGCACTTCTGTTCTCGTGTGATGTGGTTAGTTTGAAATTCTTCCATCGCCATATTAATTTATTTTGCGTGCGATTATTTTTAACTGCATAGAAAAATGGAGAATGAAACGGAAATTGTTGACACTGAATTTTCCGATTACATAGGTAAATATTTATTTAAAATTCTTTGAAACTATTATTACAATTATGATTTGCGCAATTGTTGGACAACTTTTTCGCGGTTGAAATTAGAAAAAGATTAAAATGAATGATAAAATATTTAATATTTAAAATATCTTTTTAAAATTGAAATTTATATATATATTATATATTATTTATTTCATTTTACGTGTAAAAGTGTTAGGGTAATATGAAAAATGATTATTTCACAAATTGTCTGTTATAAATGTCCCTTAAAAAATTTAAGACTCGAATACAATTTATTTTTCAAAGAAACCTGTACAGCAAAATTTAAATGGTTTGAATTAGCATTGAATATCTTATAAATGATTGTTCGACTGTATTACCCTGATACCAAAAAAGAGGTAGATTCGAATTTAATCGTTTCCCACAGGTTTTCGCAAAAACCCAGTTGAAAAATGCTAAGTGCGATCGCGCTTCTTTCTTTTCAGTTTAGAAACTGAATTACGCTTCTCTATGTTTACAGAAAGATATTTTAGATACTGCAATCATTAAGTTTTTCCAGTCTTAGGTAATAACAAAAATAAAAATGAATAATTAGAAGGAAAAGGAATGAATAAGCTTTGTCTGATTCTACGAACCGATAGACTGGCACTTTTAGACAATGTAACAGAGAAGCGCCGTTGTGCCGCTTAGGACTCAAATCATTAAACACATTGTTGTGTCATTCATTTTCATCTTATAACATTTTTTTGTAACTTCAATCGCAGAGGTTTATATAATATTAAAATTCGAATGGAATTAAACTTCATTCTTCTGTTTTTTCAATTTGCGAAGAGAATACAATGGGCATAAGGGCCCACGCAAAATTTATCGACGAATCCTTAAAAGAAAATATAATACCTAAAAAGAGAAAACGAAATGAAGCATCAGTGGAAGCTAAACGAGCAGCGGAAGAACATTATATCGAAGCGTTACAAGACCAACAATACAAAAGATTAATGCATTTGTTAAATAGAAGCAAATTTTTCTCTACGTACATCGTTAATAAAATTGACGATAATATGAAGGGAAAAGGCACTAAGGTTAAGAGACAGTACAAAAAGAAGGCGCATAAGCAAGATGAAAATGCGGTACAACCAGAAGGGAAAAAAAGGAGGAGCCAAGATATACGAAATTATATATCTCAGAATGTAAGGATACGCGCTAAAAGGTTTTGTATAATCCGTTTTATAATTTTTGTCCTATATTATTAATTATTACAGGTACAAGAAAAGATACAAATGAATAAGAGTAAATTGAATGAAGAAGATATTCAGAATGCATTAGTTGTTGACTCTGACAGCGATGCGGAAAGCGACAATAATAATTTTGAAATGCCAAAATATTTTAATGGAACATTGCGAGATTATCAAATACGAGGGTTTAAATGGTTAAAGGTCCTTTACGAAAATGGCATAAATGGCATTTTAGCAGATGAAATGGGACTCGGAAAAACAGTACAAGTAATAGCTTTGTTATGTCACTTATTTGAAAACGAACAGGAGGGGCCTTATTTAATAATTGTTCCTTTATCAACTTTGCCGAATTGGATAATGGAATTTGAAAGATTTGCACCGACGTTACCGCTCGTGGTACACCATTGTCCAAAAAATGAAAGATTCATAGCGCATAAACAAATTAAACAGAAATATAAAGTTACAGACAGTTACAGTAGCCAACCGGTTGTGCTCAGCACATTTGAAATATCGCTGATGGATAAAACTTTTTTTAAAACCCAACATTGGAAATATATAATAATCGACGAAGGACATAGAATCAAAAACCATAACTGTGATCTTTTCAAGTATGTTTCTGTACGCTTTAAAAGTTTTCATATATTAATTTCTATTATAAATTTAATTTATTATTTTGATGCAGGGTGCTAAAGAGCTGTAAATCCATGAACAGACTTATAATGACAGGCACACCGTTGCAAAATAATTTATCAGAATTGTGGGCATTATTAAATTTCCTGCTGCCAGAAATTTTTGACGATTTAGCTGTATTCGAGTCATGGTTTGATGCAAAGGCACTTCAATACAATGAAGGCGCCAAGAAATTCTTAAAGCTCGAAGAAGAGAAACATGTCTTGGCATCGTTGCGTGAAATACTAGAACCATTTATGTTGAGACGTGAAAAGTCTGATGTTTGTTTAGAAATTCCGCTGAAAAAAGAAGTGATTATTTGTACTCCTCTCTCAGACCTTCAACATCTTTTATATAAGGAAGTAATAAATCGTCATTTGTACGAGTACTATACAAACGAAGATCCAAGTGTATACATAATTGATGGCAAAAGGCCAACGAGGCAGTCTGTCTTAAAAAATATGAGTAATGATGATCATAAGCAAAATAGTGTTACAGAGGATGAATCGTCGAATGATTCAGTTTCAGAAGGCAAATTAAAAGACAGATTGTTAAGCACCTATCGATATTTTGGTATTTCAAAATCTAATCCAGATTACTTCTTCAACATTACACGTAATCGATGTTAGTTGATTATTATTACTGTGTAAAAAACATGATTTATCTAAATGTTTCCGTCATATAAGATTTATTTTCTTCGTTGCAGTTCCTATGTATAAGAAGATTGTGAACCATCCATATCTAGTCCGCTATCCATTGAATGATTGTGGTTTACCGTTAATAGACGAAAACTTAGTTAAAGCATCTGGTAAACTGTTAGTACTAGATGCAATGCTTCCGAAGCTTAAAAGCCAAGGACATAAAGTTTTATTGTTTTCTACGATGACAACACTATTGGATGTGATAGAAGATTATCTGTCGATGCGTCCTTATGAATATGTTAGGTTAGACGGTGGATGTGACGTTAGTGACAGGAAACATAGTATCGAAGAATTCAATTCAAACCCGAATATATTTTTGTTCCTGTTATCTACAAGAGCAGGAGGCGTTGGATTAAATCTTACTGGTGCAGATACTGTCATCATGTACGACTCCGATTGGGTACGTTAACTGTTTCATTTATGTTTTGTGAGTAATATTGCTTGGAATTAATGAAATACATTTTTAGAATCCACAAATGGACATACAAGCTATGGCCCGTTGCCACAGAATAGGCCAGTCGAAACCGGTAGTGATATATAAATTTTGTACAGAAGGAACTATCGATGAATTCATTATGAATCGTGCAGAAACAAAACGTGTTCTAGAAAAAATGGTAATCTCCAAGAAGACCAAAGTATTAAACCTAAAGAATAAAGAAACGTTATTGGAATTACAAAGGTTTTTGGAATCGAAAGGCTGTCGAGTAGGTCCATCTAAAAATGAAGGTAAAGCGTCAAGCGAAACTTTAAATATCTTTTGAATGTGAGCAACTGTTGCACTGTTTTAATAATTAAACTTAATTGCAGTTTTTACAGAAGACGAGCTTAACAAATTATTAGATAGAAGTGATTTATATCAAAACTTAGAATCTAAAGAGCCATAATGTATTTTACATTTTCTCCTTGAAAAGGTTACGAACAGTATAAATGAGAGATTTTTTAATTTTACTATAATATTTATTTTTCTACTCGTTTAAGTTAAGTGTGAGGAAGTTATGAAATTATAATATCTAATAAAGATATATTATTCTACGATGAATTGTACCTTGGCGACTGCGAGTGGACTTGTCGATTTAATAATTTTTATGGTAAGTTTCAGAAAAAGTGAAAATTTTGTGTCCGTTTAGTTTAAGTGTTTCACGTACTTTATATTAAGGGTCATTGTATTAATATTTATAATTTAGTTGATTTCATACGTAAAAAGTATTTTCCTGCCATATTTTTGTTTTTGTAACACTGATTTAATTGGTCGCGAAACTCTGCTTCCAGTTTTGTATAAGTTCCACCTATTTTTAAAAAATTTTAATAAATGTTTTATATGCATGAAGTGTGATATTGTTTATATTGTATTACGTATAAAACAATACCATTCAATTTAGTTCTCTTACGACTGTGTTTACTCAATGATTTTAATAATAAAGGAGAGTCTGCGGATACCCTTTTCGTTAATAGTGCTACCATTTGCGTACTAGCTTTTTCTTCGAACTCTCTCTGATTATCTTGATTATGTCTCACGCTTAAATCATTATTCCAAGATCGTCCATGGTTCCTGAAGAAGGTTAAAATTCAGTTAGTATTAAACCTTATTTAATCGCTATGAAGAAGCATGATTTTGTTACTTCCACAGAATTTGATTCTTTGGCTTCTTTTTATTTTTATTTTTTGATCTTAAGGTGGACCATGAATGTGATTCTTCACTGTTATACGACTCTTCGTCGATACTATAATCTTCATCAATAGTAATCACATCGTCTTCTTCGCTGTCAGTGACTGAAGACATAAGGGATAAAACATCAGTTGTAAGAGAAACTTGTCGATAATTTCTTAGTGACGTCTTCTGTGCATCCTGTGCTTGAGATAACCGTCGAAGTCCTGTTCCACTCCATATTTTTCCTAACCATCGAACAAACATATTACCAGAAAAGTGCTGCCTAAATAAATGTAATTACATCTACCTAAAAGTCCAAATCTTGGTCGTTGCGGAGCAAGTTCTAAACCAACCCACCACATCACATTTTGACACGTCAGTTTTCCAGATTGAAGAGACACATCACGAGTCACTAATCTTGTAATTTTTTCTGGAAAAAATAGTTGTGGTGGTTCCATCGCTATTACTTCTCTGTGTACAGAGAAAATGTTCAATATATTTATATCCTTCTGTGCGCGTACGTCTGGAATATGTTCCTAAACACACGAATAACTGCTTACTACTTCTGATTCCCAACGGTCTTAGTAACAAGAAATAATTTAACGTATAGTAATAATAACAACAACGATACTGTGTCAATAATACTTACAAATACCTACCCTGTACCTACAACCTTCACGATTTGGCAATACTTCAAATCTGTATGCTCGTTGACTACAACACGGGTATCTTCCTAAGGGGAACGGCATGGGTCTTTGCTGTTCATTAATAAAAAACTGTGGAGGTTCTGCGTGGCAACAGCACCAATCAATTTGATGAATTGGAAAGTACACGTTGCATTGTGTACAAAATAAAAAATGACAGTCACCCCATAATCTCCAATAAACTTTACGCCAGGAACGTAACTCGGTTCGAAGATTAATGATATAATCGTTCAAACTCCACGACAAATCTCTAAATAATATATACCTTGTTACAATTGTAAAGGTTGTAAAATTATTTCTGAATTTTATAATCGTACCGTATGTGTTTACTATGTATATTTCCGTGATTATCGATTACCATTGCACTTGCGATACATGGTACATGATTAGAAACAGATTGGATAATACTTTTCCCACATTTACTACATTTAAATAACGTAGCTAAAGAACTATAATGTCCTTTTCTGTTGTCCGGCATTACTGCTGCTAGCGATATGATCAATTTGCAGAATAATTTACTCTGAATTTTATCTTTCTTGTCTTTTAATCCTTCCACATCTTCGTTCGTAAACTTTTCTACCAATCTATAATAAATTATTACTTTCAAATGTGGAGTTGCAAAGTAATATTTTCATTTCCTGGTAACAGATACTTAAATAAATACCTTGTAAGAAGATTGTCGTCTAAACAAGTTAAAATTGTTGATGTTTTCAATATGTCGGACATGTTATCGTGACAATACTGCAAGCAATTCTCCAAAAGTGGTTCCATTTGTAAGAAGGATGCAGAGACCATTATCGGAATGACATTACTTGGTTCCAAAATTGGCCATTCGGATTTCTTCATTGTATCTTTCTTTACCCACCTCATTAGCCAATCGAATATTACAATATCACAATGTACAGATATGTCGATCTCTTCTAATTTCTGCCCAGCCGTAACATCAGCAAAATAACGCATTTTTTGAATAAGAAGTTTTTGTGGACAATGAAAATTCTTTTTAATATTTTTTTCTTCATCGCAAACATGAATTTCCACTTCATTTCTGTGTAAATATCGAATAAATTGTTAATGTTAACTTGAATTTTAATCAACAATAACAATTAATAAACTTACTCCATTGATCTTTTATTTATTTTGCTTTTATCTTTTTCCTTTTCTTTATGCGTTAGGCTTGTGGCCACTTTTGTATCAATATTATTGCTTACTGAATTACATTTCTTAATTTCACTATTTATAATTGTTTTTTTAATAATAGGTTGCGATACTGTAGACTTCGGAATCATGTACGGTAACACAGAATCTAATAAACCTTCGTGCAATATATCGCTCAAATTTGTTTTCATGAGATTTATTAAAAGATTCTCCGTTGCATCTGTAGATCTAGTAACCTGCGATTCGTCCAAACATGATAATGTTTCTGTAACTTTATTACAATTTTCAGTATCGACCATTAAATTTTTATCGTAGCTAGATGTCTGTTGATGGTCGATCTCCGTGTTTGAAGATGTAACAGAGTACGTAGAATTTTGAAGATTCATATTATATGTTTCAAGCAACGACTCTGGTACAAGATTTTTCTTTTCACTTGTAACACCATTATCAACGCATTTCTCATGAATTGTATTATAACTTGGCGTTTCTAAATGTATATCAATTTTCGCTAATTTATCCCAATCGAATTTATTGTCCGTCGTGAACATTGTAGTTATATTCTTAGAGTTATCACTGACTTGGTATGCAACTTTCATAAATTCAAAAAACATTCCGATCGACAATTTGGGATGTTTGTAATCTTGAAGTTTGTGAAGTATTTCCGATAAATCTAAAGCACATATTCTTCATTACTTCATCTAGTTTAATACTTCTACATCAAGAAAGCAATAAAACAAATCTGTAACCACTAATATTCATTTTCAATCACAGAAACTTACACAAGCATTGCACGAGAAACTTCTTGCGAACACAAACGTAGAAAAATAAAAATTGAATTAGAAATGACACACATGAACGTGCAATACCAAAAGTAACAGTTTGAAGTTGTGCAATCTGTCAATTAGTTTACATTACACGTACCTTCTCTAGTGGTTGAAGCATTTACTCCTCTGCGCATATTTTCATTTAAAGAACTATTAATTTTCTTTATTTCCATTTCTCTAAGTAAATAGAGATCTGCGTTACACTCAACAGACACAAAGTTAAAAATAGAGTAATAACCTTCCAATATTATCTCCTAACAGTTTTGTCATTATTTTCAAATATATTCACACAAATTAGTCACACAAAGTACAACAGGGCCATAATATTGACAAAACAATGTATCTCTTTATAACTTTATTTCATCACTAAATTTACATTAAATAAATTAAAATAACGAACTACCAACAAATAACATACACATTCCCATAATAATCCATAATTAATTCTATTGTAATAAATTCATCAATTTTATTCAATATTAATTCTTACCGGTGACAAGCTGAATCACATTAGGTAACACTATTGACATACGTGAGTATACCACATATATACATTCATTCATAGTCACAGAGATAAGTGGTTATCATCGAATATTTCAGTCGAATTACAACACGCAAAACGTCATTAAATAGTATTTTAAATTTATCATGAATGTTTAAAAACAACATGATTTATCATCGTTGAAATACGTATTTTATTTTTTTTTAGTTAACACGTCAAATTAATTTCTCACTAGGAAGTTGATTTGAAAATTACCACAAATTTTTATAGTGGTATATACTTTATTGATAAATACATTGTTTTCAAGTGTGTAGGAAAAATATTTGTTTATCGTGCGTGTGATATTTTTGTAATTGTGATATTACTAGTCGAAGGCTAGGGGAACTATCGTACGTCTATATAGCCGCATCTAGTTCCGGGAATTCTTAATGATACACATCGTTCGTTCCTCTGACTATAATTAAAACATCGTTCCCCAACGGTACCGGTTATTTGCAATATTATTTCACGTTGTACACAACAAACATTTTCCGTTTCCATCGCAGGACGTTCTCCCGTCTTCCGAAAGTATGACCGCATTTTTCCTGGAAACGAAAATATTGTAAATCCATGTGTGACAGATGTGATGAGTGCTGTGTGTGGGCGTATGGTTTATCATAAAATCTGATTAACACATTTCCAAGCGTGAACGAGACGTCGTCCTCGTTTCCAAAAATCTGTTCCCTCGAGCTCTGGTCATCGTTGACGTCCTCTTATCGCATCAGTGTGTGGAACGAATTATGACAAACAAATATAAGTCACTGTGAACGAAGGGTATGCAATAACTTTTACATCGATCGTGGGAACATTTGATACAGTTTTACAGCAATGGGTAAGTTCGAGACGCTTCTATGTCCGTTACAAACTACTTCAGATTACGTGCATTTCAGAGGATTCGATGCAAGCGCAAAAGTGGCAACAGCATTTATCGTTACTGCGAGAACAGTACGTTAACTTACACAATTCGAATACAGAACTGCAACGTGAGTATGCTATCGCTACTGCAGATAAACAGGAATCTGGATTCATCACGAAACTTCTGGCGACTATAGCGTCGTTGTATGGTCAACAGCGTTACAGGTTTATATAGTTTATTGAATCGTAACGTTACGTCTTTGTAGTATAATTAAGCAGTTGTTTTGTTTTCTAGTGATGTTACTATTAAGTTAACGGATCAGGAAATACCAGCACATAAATTCGTATTGTCTGCTAGGACAGATTTCTTCAGTGATTCGATAATTGGTGAAGTAACTACGTTAGGTAAAGTGTTTAGGTTTAGTAGAGGTATAGTAGAATCCCATTTATCCAAGTACTCGATTAAAATAGATGCGTATTCGAATTCCTATTATCGAATAAAGTCTTATTTATAAATTTCTATTACAAGAGTGTTATAGATGTTCATACCAATTTATCTCGTGACAGGTTTGGACGAATGAAGTTCTATTATGTGTAACAAATAATTATATATTAATAAGCAATAAGATATGTTTTTATAGATTGGAGTAATTTGGACTCGAATATTGGATTAGTACTGTTGAAATGGATTTATACGGGAAAAGTGTCTCAAGAAAATTTAACGTTGGATCTAATGAAAGCAGCGTCTAATTTTCAATTGGTAGAATTAGTCGATCATTGTGAGAAATATTTAATTGGAATTGTGGGACTCAAAGATTGCGTACAATTGTATGCGGCTGCTGAAGATTTAGGGGCACAGAAATTAAAGGAACACTGCAGTTCTTTGATTTCAGCTCATTGGGTAAAAAAATACTATTTTTATAGAACATTTTCCTAATTGTAATGTGAATTCATGTGAAATTTTGTACGTTTAGGAAGATCTGACCGGAGAAGATTTTAAAGAAATGCCTGGTTCCTTATTGTATAAATTGTTACAAACAAAAAGTAAATATCCATTACATGCCGCTGTTCGATTAATGAGAGAAGATGTAGTTTTTTTGTATTTAGTGGAAAACAATTCAGGGGTAAGTTGGTGTTTTTGAATCTGTCTGAATTATATTTATTCCAACACACATAGATATCAGTTTATTATTTATACATTAAAATATGGTAAAACGAATGCATATTTTATACGGACATTTTCACAGCCTGCTTTAAATACATTTCGCTGTTCTGTTGCAAGCATTAACATCAAAAATATTCTGTAATGGTATTTAAATCGTCAAATGAGTATTCAATTTATTAAAAATATCATTTCGGTATAGTTATTTACATATCTGTATATCACATATGTTCGTTATTTTAACTTACAACAAATTTAATTGAGTGTAAAAAAATATTAATACTCTTGCAGTAATAAGTACTTCAAATTGAAATATTATATCAGCTTTACAAATAGTAATATCATTGTTAATGCAAAAATATGATACATACTCGTGGCTTTAATCAATTGAGACGAATTGCATAAATGAAAACTACAGAAACAATATTCTGGTGGACCTGCTGGTGCTCCCCTATCTTCGCCGACAAAACAACCTTCTTCGTACGCTGTTTTCACAACTTCTTCTTTGTTTTCCCATTTATTATCTTCATGACTATAAATGGGAACTGAACGTTTCTGAGGTGCACAATCCCTTTCTACAGCTGTTATTATCAATGCTGTAAAATATTAAAAATTACTCGGTAACATTTTCCACGGTTCCCAAGCAAAGTGAACTTACTTTTTAACTTGTAGTAAACAGTTTTCTTTCTGCAAAGAGTCGACGAAGGACAGTACACTTGATATCGAGCACTTCCATCGAATTGTGAACATAACAAATCAGTTTGTTCATGTCCAGGTTGCGACGCGTAGCATTTAAAGCACGAAATTCCATCTGCGTTTATTGGCGTTACGGTGTCTAAAAGTTTCAAATATTTAAGCAATTCAGAAAGAGTAATTAACAAGCACATAAATAAACATAATACTAAATGATATAACAAATACACAGTTGACAAAATTGAATTATCTCATACATACATGTATAAAACAGAATTGTTACAATTAAAACAATCTTGATTGAACTTATTTGAAAAGTCATGGCATTCGCAGTTACGTTTGATCTTTCGTAGAAGAATATGTTGTATATTACTCTTGTCAGCTATCGACAGTTCTCGCTTTCATTCAATTTTCTTTCATATTTCGACGCACCATCATTAAAATCTGAAACAGTTTTAAAACGAAATTACAAGGACATAATCACAATAAACATTAATGCACTAACACAATATCATTCAAACAGAAGGGAAGGTACCACAGAAGAATTATAAATTACAGAAGCAACGTATTGTGAGAGTCATTAATTTATTAGACACTTGATTAAAACGACTTACAAATCTAACGTACAAAATCTCGAATTTATAATTGAACTTTTACGAATCATTCAATGCATCGTCCTCAGTCGTTCGCGTCTGATAGTACAAAACATATTTAAGTCAACACTGAAATTTATTTCCAATTGCACTGAATCGATCGTCCATCGAATGTCACATCGCAACGTCGGGATTTCGGTTGGCCTCTCGCTGTTTCATATGAAATTCTATTCTTTTCATGGGAAACCGACAGCGGTCAGATGACTGTGGTTTACGCCACGTCATGTTCTCTCTATCACTTATGAACCACTCTTCCTGGTGTATCGGAATGTAATCGTCATATTCTTTTCCGCTTACTTTTTCACACCTACGTTCGCGTATCGTTAACCTAAAAATGTACAGGTATCGCTGCGAATATGCATGTGTACATCCGTTGGACGTGTGCGACGGTTAGAATAGTTATATTCGCCCCCACTCCTCGGCGGTCGGAGTGGGGCGGTCATTGTGACCATTGATGCGTCCTACGCATAGACAGTGGCTCTCAACTTGTTTTTCACCATCATGACAGTTGGAGCGAGAAAGTGTCATTGAAATTAATTGTTGCGTTTCAGTTATTGAAGGCGGTGAACGCCGTCGATAATAAAGGGGAAATGCCATTGGAGGTAGCTTTAAAGACACGTCAGCCTTCGTTAGCTCGTATTTTAGTGGGGCACGGGGCTGACTTGAACGCGAAAGACTTGAGAGGGTTCTCCTTGCTGCAAGCCGCTATTTTTAAAGGGGATTCCTACTCAGCGGAGTTTCTAATAGAACAATTAGAAAGTAACGGAAGCGTGCAACAGTTGTGCGAACCTGTCAAGATTATGGGAAGCACGAAGGACGTGAAGTATCCTGAGGAACTCGAGGGATGTACAGCTTTGCACTTGGCGACGAAGCATAACTCAGAGAACATGACAGCTATCGGGTCACGGCTGCTTCAAGCTGGCATTGATCCTAATTTACAGAATCAGAAAGGATGGTACGGTCTTTTAGGTTCGTTCTTATGAAAGTTATGTTTGTAACATACGTGTAATAATCGTCTTACGCTGTTACAGGACTGCCTTACATAGTTGTGTTTGGGAAAGAAATGAACTACTTTTTGATATTTTACTAAAATGTCAAAATATACATTTAGATGAAATTACCAATGACAATGACACTCCATTGTGTATCGCGATGAAAACAGAACCGTTCTGTGAATCCTTCGCTAAGAAACTCTTGGCCAAAGGCGCGACTCCTAATCCTGTGTACAAAGATACCGGAGACACTTTACTGCACATCTTAACCAGAGAAAGTAAAGAGGAAGCAGCGTTGTTTCTGATCGATTATAGTAAAGACAATTTGATGGCAAAAAATAATGAGGGATACTCGGTCTTACACGAAGCTTGTAAAGTTGGCTTGAAGACTCTCACCAAGACGTTATTGAAAAATGGTTTCCCGTTGGATGAAGTGACATTATTTACTGGGGATGCGCCATTACATTTTGCTGTTTCAAATTTATATTTTGATATCGTAGTAGAATTATTAGATGTCCCTGGTTCAAGTTCTCAGTTGAATTTAAGAAACAAGGCGAACGAAACGCCTTTGAGCTTAGCTATAAAAGCTCCGCTCAAAAAGGGCAAGGATATTGTTTTGGCTTTGATAAAAGCTGGAGCAAACATCAATCAGTGTAACGAAGAGGGTTTGACGTTATTGCATCAGGCAATATTAAAGGAGGATTCAGCAACCGCTATCTTTTTATTAGAAAACAGTGCAGACATGAATGCCAGGTAAATACAGTACTTTAACGCTTAGGAAGTTTCAAGAGATTTTAGAGTGGTCGTTCAAATGTTTCTGAGCAGAGTATCACGATTGAACAAATAATGTTTCCTTTTATCTTCAGGCTTAGATTTCGTTATGCGTCTATCTTCAGACAGTAACATCAATCAAGTATGCAAAAGTGATATAAACACACAGATACATATCTGTTACACTTTTATGAAATTACCTACATTTATGAAATTTTCCTGATGAAAATAAGGCGAACATTTCAATCGTATAGTAAATGTTTCCGTATTTACTTACATTTTCATTAGAAGAGTTTCGCTAATAGTAGAAACTTAATAAAAGTAAATGCAAAATAAGAAACTTGATACGATACATTAGTAGTTATCGCATTAATGTAATTTTGATATACTTTATGACACTGTTCTACTATTTCATAGTAAATTCACAAGGTCACTGGTTAAGTAATATCAAAAAAGTAGAAGAGACATAAAATTCGAATTTTTCAGAAATAAAATTGTTACACCATTACTTTAGTTGCATATTTAAATTTTCAGCTGTTCGTTAAGATATATAATAGAATACTAATTTATTTAGGACTGCAAGTGGAGAGACGCCGTTACAACTCTCTGTACATTGTAGACTGGGCGAAGTTGTAGAAGCTCTTTGTAAAAGAGGTGTAGATACTTCCGTAGGGTGCCCACTGTGGGATGCACTGGACTCGGATCAAGAGGATATAGCATCTATCCTGGTTAAATACGGAGCTGACACCGATTGCTGGAACTTCGGTCCAGACGGTTGCCAACAAACATTATTACACAAAGCGATTGATGACAATAAAGAAGATATTGCACAATTCCTTGTGAGAAGGTGAGGTGGAAAATAAAGTACGCATTCACAGAGAAAGGTTAGAATATATTTCTGGAACGATATTCATTTCAGTGGTTGTGATTTAAATGCACCGAGAAGACCTGGTCCAGACGGTTCAGGTGGTGATGAGGCGAGAGATGAATGTACTCCGTTGCACTTATGCTGTCAATGGGGCTTAGAACAAGTTGTTCAAACCCTTATCGAACATGGCGCAGATGTGAACACTCGAGATGCAGAAGGCAAAACTCCAGTTCACGTTGCTATACAAAATCAACACTCACAGATTATTTCTCTGCTACTTTGTCACCCTAACATAGATTTAAATAAAAGAGATAAAAAAGGTTTAACGCCATTTGCAACAGCTTTAACGTTTAGGAATAATAAAGCTGCGCAAGCAATATTGGAACGACTACCCAAGGCTGCTGAACAATACGACAATAAAGGCAGGAATTTTTTGCACACTGCTATCCAAAAGAACGATATGGAGAGCATACTCTTCCTTTTATCCATACAGGTAAACATAATCTTCAAACATACGTATATTGTAAATACGAAAGAACACTTTTACGTAATCAAATAATTATCATTCTACAGGTAGACGTGAACTCCAGAGTTCACGATGTCACTCAAACTCCACCTTTGCATCTAGCTGCAATCTCTGGGAATGAGATGTTAGTGAGAAGTTTGATTTTAGCTGGCGCACGGGTCAATGACACAGATGCAAATAGGAACACTGCATTACATGCTGCAGCAAAAGCAGGTCACGCTGCAGTCGTGTCTGCTTTATTGCAGGTATTACTGTTCATATAGAGGGTCTATACAATTTTCATATAGTTTTACAAAATTAGATGGAGTTCGATTACAATAAACTGATAGAGTTTCCAGATTTACCAAGTAGTTAAGAGTACGATATGTGGCAAACAAGATTTATAAAGGTTAAACAAGTTTTCAGATAATTTTGCTACAACACTAATGTTTTTTACACATTAACGTATCAGTTATTTTATAAAAAGAAATGGGAATTTCATGAGTATGTGGTACACATTTATAAATATGAATTTATATATAACAGACACTATTTTTTTTTTGTAGAACAGCATTAATTTCGATGCGATAAATGCAGATGGCGACAATGCCCTGCACGTGGCTGTAAGAGAAGGGCATGTGTCCGTAGTGAGAACACTTTTGACTGAATGTACGTTAGATGCAGAGGCAGTGAACCTTAAAGGAAGAAATCCCTTACACGAGTTAGCTAGATGTGGAAAAGACAATGCTGCGACTATATGTGAATTTTTCTTGGAATGCATGTCACAATATCCAATTAACAAAACAGGTACAAACACACGTAGCAAGTATAAACAAGCTCAGACGTGTTGGCAGACCGCAAGGTGAAAAATTACAGGGTCGAGAGAAAAAAAATTTCATTTTCAGTAATCTTCATAAATGTAACACTAATGGATTGCTAAGATTCTCCTGGTTAAAATGAGTCCAAACACGACACAAATTGGACTAGTTTGATCAATTTGGCATTTATATTTAATTTAATTAAACTAATTAAATAACTCCATTAATGCTGCAGTTATAAAAATAGAACTAAACTGTGGAAAATGAAATTTTCTTTATCGGATACCTGTTTTCTTTCTTTTCATTGACTGGGAACGAGTCTTAAAAATTTAATCGTACAGATTTTAGTGAAATTTAAGCAAGCATAGTTAATTAGGAGATGTCTTGATATTTATGGCGCAGAAGTAAGAGGTGTTTTTCTAGTTTACAGTTCTACGGTTTCTATTGGTTACTTGTAACCGTATTGGCGAACAGTGAATTAGTAATCAAAAATATCAAGAATTAAAAAATGAAAACTGATCAATTGAATTCCTCAGCTTAGCCATCAAGTAATCTCAACAAGTAACAACAATGTGTCAAAACCAAGGCGTCACTGTTGCTATAGCTATTTAACCCTTTGCACTCGAAAGTTTCTTCGCTAAATATATTCATAACTTTTCAATGAAATTTTTAATGCTATTAAAAGAAATAATACACGAATGAAGGATTAAAACTATTGTATTTCAATATTGCATGTCTGATGACATTACATAATACTTGATATTGAATATAGAATTTTATAATTTTTCTCTGTCAAATGAAACGATGACTATGTGAGTGCAAAGGGTTAATAGAGTAGTAGCCAACATGTCCGAGCTTAACTTTACATACCTTTTATACACTATTTCACGATGAATTAAATTATACTTAATATTGTATTGAAGATCTGGAGGGTAATACTCCGTTACTAATCGCCTATATGAAAGGCAACGGTCAGCTGTGTCGTACACTGGTGAAGGCTGGCGCATGCTTGGGTTCCATGAATAAAGAAGGCATTACAATTTTTAACTATCAAGTAGCGACGAAACAGTTACTATACAGACTGCTGGATTCCTTAACGCAAGAAGCGCCGTGGGCAGACAAAGATTTATGTTTGGAGTGCGGTACAAAATTTTCTATCACAATGCGAAAGCATCACTGGTATACATCTTACGTTACATGTAAATCTGTAAATATTACCGATCGCACGAGAAAGATTAATTTGATACGCTTTCTTTTCTTTTTTTTAGCCGCCACTGTGGTAGAATTTTGTGCAATAAATGTTCTGGTTGCGATGTTCCGATTGTAAAGTTTGGATTGAATAAACCAGTGCGTGTTTGTGCAGTATGTTTTGATGTATTACAAGTAGGCGCTGAATGAGAGAAAGACTTAAATAATAAAATCATTCATATGTAAATAAAATGAACATCATTCCACGAGCACTTTTCATAGGGAATAATGGAGAGTCTGTACGAGTCTGTGTCAGTCACATTATATATTATACATATTTCATTTATATATGTACCATATAATTATTCTTGTTGAGCATTTGTTAAATTTATAGTTATAAAATTTTAAATACAGATGAAGGAATATCATTGAGAGTTGACGCCTTTCGATAAATCATTATTTATTCCTAGTAACAACTGTATATTTATAATACATCAAATCAATTGATAATATCCTCTTAACCGAGATTACGTCCCGTTGTGATCTTACTTAAGCTTACTGAACAGCGTTTCTGCTACGCAGTGATCTACGCATTCTACGTAATCGATTAACTCTTCGAGACACGTCTCTTCTGTTTGAGTTCTCGAATTGACCCGATCATTACAAGTGTTAAGCTTATCTTGCAAAGTTTTACATTCACTCTTCCTGGAGCATTTTTCCTGCAGAAAAAATCATCACACGTATAATGAATTCTTATCAAGTTCATTTATTCATTAAATCTCATATCCTATAAAAATAATGACAGTAATAACTTTCACGATTTCTCCTCTAATTTCGAAAATTCAGAAAAACGATTCGAAATAATTATAACAAATATATTATGTAATAATTACAACTTACACGAAGCACTTTCTGAGGATCGATCAGTTCGTCGTCTTCCGCTTTCACGGTTGGAATGTAACGTGTCAGGAAACTTTGCAGAAAAGACATTTTTAAACGTACAGTTCTATCTCGATTTTACAAGAATGTTTTAAGTCACTGGCAAGTATGTTAGCTAGGTTTCTGCTGTGATACTTCGGAAATAAAGCGACCAGAATTATTCGTCGGAGTCGCCTGTCTCGCGTACCATCCTTAATGTCAGTTCAAATTCCTACCTAACCTTAAGCACCTTTAGGTACAATTCTCATGAAAATAATTATTCTTAAATATTATAATTTAACAGAAAAATATTTACAAAGCTAATCGTACATCTTTTATTACTAAATATTTAAATAATTCATCGTAAATCTTTTATTATTAAATATTTAAATAATTCAAATTTTATAGGAATATTAATATTTTTTTTAGTTATGATAATTTTGGTAATATTTATAATACTAACTAAATGCAAATAATTTTAATATACATTTTTGCAATTTCATTTAATTTATATTTTTTCAATCTCATTTAATATATTATTTTATTTTACAAAAAAAATCACATGTATTAACTATATAATTACTTTCATAGTAACAATTAATTTCATTATTAATTTCATGAATATTGGTAATATTTATAACAATACTAAATGCAAATAATAATTTTAACATACATTTTTGCAATCTCTAATATATATTTTTTCAATCTCATTTATTATTTTATTTTACAAAAACAATTATCTTATAACAATAATTACGTCATCATAATATTAGTAACATAATATAATAATAACAATTCCAGTACACATTTTCCTAACCTAATTCAACACACTATTTATTTACCAAAACAAACTGCACGCACCACACAACAATTTCCATAGCGACGATTAATTCAATCCCATCATCCATTCGAATCCACCGAATTACCACTTTTGATTGATACTGTACGTGTGCACACGATATCGCGCACTTTTCTTCGCAGGCGGCGAGACGATTCGCCAATAGGAATTTCCGTCGGAGCCTAGTTAGCCAATGCCCGACCGAAACACCGTTCGTCGTATGGGGAAGAAGATTTCGAGCAATTTATTTTGCAATACCGTCGTTAAACATTAATTACCCTTTGCAGATCATTGGTAAATATACAAAATGCCAGCGTTGATCGAGACTCTCGACGATCTCTCGAACGGCGATAACACTCGTGCGTCCGGGCGTACTCGGCGAGGGGGAAAAAATGTAAAACACCTGCCTCGGTCACCAATTTGAGCTCTCATTTGGTGGATTTCAGCGTAACGATATTTTATGACGCGAATTACCTCCAACGGATAACAACAATATCCGTCGATCCGTCTACCATAAATACTCGCACGATTTAAAATGGTCCGAGGAACCGTCACGGTCTTCGTAACAAGGATGGCGTCGCGCGAGTGTGTTTGCACAGTTTTATCGAGGCGACGGGCCCGCTGAGGTTGATCGGGCGCACTTTACGCGGCTGGCTGTGAGATAAGTTTTGCTGGTCGGCTGGCGCACCGTTGTTCCTGTCGGCGGCGGACGGCGAGTCGAGATCCGGAGGGACCAGGGCGCAGCGCGTTGTGCTGGCAGTCAAACATTCGGCTGGTTTTGCGCTGGTCTGTCGGGGAAGCTGGCACCAGCGGACGTCCGTGTTTCCCACGAGAAACCGTTTTTAAGAAATCAAAACGGGACTCGGCCCGAGAGCCGATGCCCGAACGACGTCCGTACAGGGAATACACCGTCGCGTGAGCGAACCGAGAAATTACAAGGTTGCGAAAAAACCGGAACGTACCCGAACGAAACTCGACGGCTGTTTCGCGCTAAACCGGGGCTTCGCTGGAGCCCGTGTATCAACAGAAACGTTGGGAATATTCCGCGAAGAATCCTTTTCGAGAGATGCTCACCACGTCGTTTCTTCTCGCGAAAGTCCAACCTAAAAGCGATACGTTTGAGGTTATGTTCCGTTGAAACATGAATTTCTCGCGTTAACCAGCGAAGCGACTTATCAGGACAACAAAAACAAACTGGACGTAAGTTGAAGGTGGGAATAGGGTTTCTCGTCGTGCGGTGCGTTCGCTGTGGTAGTCTGTGCTTTGTGTATTTTCAGTTTGAAAGTGGAGTTTTATGTAAGTTTTTTGGGAACTTTTCATTGAGTTCTCGTTGTTGTTTTGTGGATTCGAAGTAGTCTTTGAGGATAATGGTGGCTCGGTTGTTTGTAGTAATGGTTTCGTGTTACGCACTGTGTGTATTTTAGAATGGGTTAATGTTTTGATCGTTGTTAATGGTAAAGCGTTGGTTGGTTTCGAGTTGGTCTAATTATGGAATTTCATTTGTTGTAGCATTTTACATAAATGGATGATGCTCGGAGGCAATGAACGGAATGGAGAGACATGGGCATGGACATGGACATTCACATGCGCACTCGCATCGTCACCGTCATTCTCATGGGAATTTGCAAAGTGCATCGCAGAACTCTAATCAGTCGTCGAAGCATAGTCACACTCATGTGACGCATTCGCAGAAAGACACGTCTGTTGTACAAACACCCCAGAAGCCGAGAAATTATAAGTTACTAGTTGATCCGTTTTTAGTCAAAGGTGCGACAAAGTTGTATAGGTACGATGGCATGGTTCCGGGAGATCCGACTTATCCTGAGGTTCAACCACGAGACCCTAGGTCGCAGTTAACGAGAATATGGACACGTTTAGAGCAGCTCGACTTGCCTGTACCTAGATTTAAAATTGACTCCAATTATTGTGGTGAACCGCCTCCGCTCGAAGTAACATTCTGTCATCTGAATGACAATATCGATAGGACTTTTCTAACAGACATGGTTCAGAAGTTTGGAGTTGTAGAGGAACTTACCGTTTATTACCATCCTGTGACTAACAAGCATCTTGGAATTGCGAGAGTGGTGTTTGAAAGTACGAAAGCTTCGAAAGCATGCGTAGAAAAATTAAATAATACATCTGTGATGGGGAAAGTCTTAAAAGTGTTTTTAGATGCATTTGGGGAAGAATGCAAGAAAATCTATGATGAGCTAACCGTAGAGAAGAGACCGGAGAAGAAAGTAGAGAAAGAATTGAAGCCTGAAAATGATCAAGAGAAACAAACACCTATCGACAAAATCGTTGAAGACAGAGAGGATTTCAGAAGTAGTAAAAAAATAGTGTCGAGTATAGACAAATCCAGAGATACGTATGTAGAAAATTCAAGATACAGCAAGTATAGAGATTATCCTACTCCCAGTGGTAATTCTGGAAGTGATTTAGGCTACGGTACTGCACCTAGCGAATTAAATTATTCTAATAATTACTCTCAGAATTCTACTCCAGCCACAAACTATGATTTTTATTATGGCGGTTACCATCATCAACCTCCTAACAATTATCTAGCAAATATACCTCAGAATGTATCGCAGAATCTTCCAATACAACAAAATTCAAGTATGTGGTGGGGAAATAATACAGGACCAGCTAGTTATGCGTCGTCGTCTATGTGGCCTGTGCAGCATGGAACAAATTTAGATAATTCTAATTCTAATGTAGTTCCGATTACAAAGGCTTCTAATGTAAAAATGCATCACTCCTCAACTCCTAAGAAGGAAAAGGAAAAAGAAACTCAGAGTGGCACAAAAAGTTCTTCGAGAGATTCACCAGTAGAAACTCGCAAAACATTGGATCTGGATACAAGAATTGCTATGTTGTTGAAAGATAAAGCAGGAGGAATGGCACCACCCTTTCTGCAATTTGGCAGTGATTCTGAAGATGAAAAAAAGTCTATCAGCGCGGACAATGAAATGCTTTCAGAACCTCCGAGTCCCTTCTTGTCGCACGAAACGTATAAGTCATGTTTTGAAAAAATGAGAGAAAGGAATAAGGAAAGGTGGAAAATACACGAGAACAACATTAATCAGTTTTCTGTTGACGAAGAATTAGGTAGTGTTATAAGTTCAAGTGAAGATGAAGCATTGCTTGGAAGTTATAGTCCCGCGCCAGATGAAATTGAACCAGAACCACCGAAAGAACCACCACCTCCTCCTCCACCTGATGACGATAGGATGTCGTTAAGTCCGTTAAGTTCAGGGGATGAGAAAATCGAAGAGGTGATTATAAGGTTAAATAATATTATAGATGCTCGGATTAAGTGTGGTAAATTTTATAATTATAATATATAGGTGATAGCTCAAACGGAACCTGCGAATCAGTTGTATCCAGGAGCTGGTTATCCTGGGCATTTAACCCATTATCCCACTAACGACATGTACCATTGGCCACGACCAGCTCAATACCCGTATCCTTATGGAACAACTTATTTACAAAGCCATTGTCAACCCAATACTACGCCATTTTCTGGAGCAGTGGGAAATCATCAAGGAGCAAATTATTATCCGTCTTTTCAATCACGACTTCATGCCATGGCGAATCATAACATTACGAAAGATAATCCACAGGTATATTTATTTCAATCGTTTATGCATTGTGTATGATACTGAATGTGTACGTATAACAAAGCATCGTTAAAAATCTAGGGCCCTACTATTAACGGAGTGTTAAACAGAGTTATAAATGAATTGAAGCAAATTTTGAAAAGGGACTTTAATAAGAAAATGATTGAAAATACCGCATTCAAATTGTTCGAAGTATGGTGGGACGAAAAGAAATCTGAGAAAAGTCAAACTCAAGGAGGAGACAACGCTATTGTTAATAATAGTAATAAGGAAGAAGGTCCGAAACCCCAAGGAATATCATTGCTTTTAGAACAGCCAACACCGCTTGGATTTAATTACGATGGATTTGGTTTGGGAATTAGAGCTAGTATGCCAAAGATGCCTTCTTTCAGGGTAAAATATATACTTCTACTGCGTATTAGTGGTTCTCGGGGTAAGATATACAGGGTGTTACCTCTGACCCAGCACACAATTTTTCACCTGCTTGCAGCAGTCTGATTAATAAAATTCCATGTTTACGATCAGTGACTTCAGTGCCAAATAATGTTTACAGTGTCTTCAGGTCAAATACAATAGAAAGCTTATATTTCACATTTCCACTACTGTAACTCGAGTAATATGTTAGTAAAAATATCATACAATATGTGATTTGATACGATCTACGATATGGTTAAAAAAACATGTGTTCCTATTTATAAAACACAAGGTGACCTTGATTTCGACATGAAAACAAACTGTTTTCAACATTTTTTTTACTGATATCTATTGTACACTCCATGTACTGCGTTAAAGGTAACACCCTGTATACTTCTGTTGTTACAATTTTAATGATTTTTTGTATAATAATGAAATATTTATATCATAGCGTAAAATTAAAGCTCCAAGTCCGTTGCCACAAGATGAAGACAGTCGTCAGTCTGGTCATGGTGATACTGAAATTATAGAAAGCGACAGTGATCTTGATCTAACGTCTGTACAGAAAGTTAAAAGGCCAATTACTTCTCTCCCAAGCGTTTCCTCATCATCTTCATCCTCATCGTCATCAAGTGAAAGCAGCAGCGATGAGATGAGCTGCAGTGAATCTTCCAGTAGTTCAAATGATAGTTCCGATGATGAAGTGTGTTCTGGGAATTTCGAAGATGAGGTAATTAATACGTTGAATCCATTAGAAAATGATTAATAAATTGATTTTTATGTAATAACACATTACATTTACCCTTTTATTTTCAGCAAGATACAGATAGTCGTGTGTCAGATCATCGTCCTTTGGCTTGCAATAGTGAGGATCCTGATATTCTAACAGAACTGGCGATACAGAGGTCTTTGGATTGTCCGACTCCAACTGGCAGAGAGACACCGATACCAGATATCAAAATAAAGGATATAAACTCCAACGAGTTCCCACAATACGAAGATGAAAGTAGACCTGTTGCGTCTCCATTAAGATACGAAGACAAGAAGGAGGAAGTCGAAGATGTAAATGAGAAGTCTATCGGTGAAGAACACTTCAAGAAACCTAGAGTAGTAATTAAGGACACAGAAGTGAAGGTTGCTGAGGATGAAACGGAGGATGCAGCAGAGACTATGTACATTGCTACAGCACCGGTGAAACAGGAGCCTCGTGATATGCAGAAGATGGAGAATTCTGCAGCTGAAGCTTTAATAACCTTAGCTGGACAAGATAATATTATAAGACATAGAAGTCCTGGACCTTTGGAACCAAATATTATTAGAGCACTTCAAACTATGTCTGCTAAATACATCAATGATGAACCTATATTGAAGGAATCGGAGAAGATTGAAATGTTTAGTGAGATACCCACTACTGACTCGGAGGAAGAGAGCTTAGAAATTAGAAGATTGAGGTTTGTCAAACACATTATTGTGTTGCGTATTAATGTATTAACCCTTTGCACTCAGAAGTTTTATGCTAGATATTTTGTGAAACTAATTCGAACAAAGCTATTCCAATATTTCTCAAACTGATGCGTCGTACAAGGTGTAATATTAAATATCACATTTTATAGTTTCACTGTGTGCAATCAAGCGGTGAGAGTCACCTCTCAGTGCAAAGGGTTAAACTAATTAAAGTAGGGAATTACATTGTTACGCTTTAACTAGGTATCAAGCTGAAGCTGACCTTCGATTAAATGGCCAAAGAAATTCAAGCTTGCGTAGTTCTCAAGTTTCACAAGTATACATGGAACATTCTTATTCGCTGCCACCATCTCAATCAGAGATCACAGAATTTGTGGCGCGTCCACCTCCAGCGCCAGTGAAGCCTGTGAAACTGAAGCCTTCGAAGATTATTAAATTGGCTAAGGGTAAAGACAAAACTCACAAAGTGGAGAAACGGAAATACAACAAGTACACGAAGATACATACTCATCAGAATCATGAAGGTGAAAAGGAGAATATTCAGAATGAATTTGTTTATGAAAAATACCCCAAGAAAGTTGTACAGGAAGCAATTATGACATACAAGGAACGTGACCTTATGTCAGAAATGGCTATTTTGTATGAATTTTTAACTAGAGGAATAGACGCAGAGGATGTGGAATATTTAAGACGAAGTTATGAAGCTTTATTAGCTGATGATAGTCAAGGATACTGGTTGAATGACACCCACTGGGTGGATCATCCAGCAACAGATATTCCAAGTCCTGCTAAACGAAGAAAAAGAGATGAACTGCGGCTACATGCAAGTGGAAGTGCAAGGACAGAAGGATATTATAAGGTTGACTTGCGAGAAAAAGCCAAACACAAGGTATAACCTTTATATAAAAGAATAATTATACCTTAGTTACTAACATTCACTTACTAATTATTGTATGTATATATTTTACTTTACGTTTAGTTATTATACGTATATTTTACTTTACGTTTAGTTATTATATACATATTTTACTTTACTTCACTTACTAGCTATTATACGTATATTTTACTTTACGTACTAGTTATTATATATTATATTAACTACGGCTTAGTATAATAATTATACAAGCATGAAGTATTCATTTTAACATTGTTTACTTGTTGCAGCATCATTATGCCCAGAGTATACAACGGAGTCACGACGTTGAAGATAACAATGGTTCATATGCTGGTGGCGATGGAACAATGAATGGTCCAAAGAACAATACTAAAGCTTTAACTGGTAAAATGCAAGCTCTATCTCGCGAAGCCCGAAGCAATCAACGTCGATTATTAACGGCCTTCGGTATCGACACCGACAGCGACCTTCTGAAATTCAATCAGTTGAAAGTGCGACTCAAATCATTCACTTTAATTACACACGTAACACTTGATGATCATCGTGTACCTTACCATGTTTGTTTAACCCTTATAGTTTAGGAAAAAGCAATTGAAATTTGCCAAATCTGGAATACACGACTGGGGACTGTTTGCCATGGAACCAATCGCAGCTGATGAAATGGTCATCGAATACGTTGGCCAAATGGTTAGGCCAGTTGTTGCCGATTTAAGGGAGTCTCAGTATGAAGCTACTGGCATTGGTAGTTCTTATCTTTTCCGTATTGATTTAGATACAATTATTGACGCAACAAAGTGTGGCAATTTAGCACGGTTTATTAATCATAGCTGCAATGTAAGTAATTAGGGTTATTATCGATTATGAGCGTAGAAAGAGATATTATCGTTGTTGTTGTTACTATTATCTTTAGCGTGAAATTCTAATTTTTCTCTTTTTTGTATTATAGCCGAACTGTTATGCAAAAGTAATTACGATCGAGAGCCAAAAGAAAATTGTAATCTATAGTAAACAGCCAATAGGAGTTAATGAAGAAATTACATACGATTATAAATTTCCTTTGGAAGACGACAAAATTCCTTGCCTATGTGGAGCTCCTCAGTGTCGGGGTACCTTGAATTAAATCGTTCATAAAATTATATTGTTCATCCTTTTTTCCTGTCTTCTACACTTCATCATATCCTACTCATATTTTTGTAAATATTTCCCCATGTAAACATTTTATAAAATGCAATGGAAAATGCTAAATTATGTTAATATGCGTACCTTTTCTTTTTCTGGTGTCCTTCCCTTCAGCTAACGACACGTTAAGTATTATATATATTATATAATATATAATACTTAATAAATTAAATTAAATTGTAATAATACTCATACAATATATTATATTACTTTAAATGCAATACACTTTAAATGTAATATAATATATTATATTTTAAATGCAATACACTTTAAATATAATATAATATAATATATTAATATTATAATTCAATTTAATTAAATTGCTTTCAACTACTTCAAATGTAATATAATATATTATAACCTATATTATATTTTATACTATATTTAAAGTAATTTACATATTTATAAATTATAAATTATCTAACATATTAATGAACTCATGGATTTCTACCAAAACCTAGCTTTACTGCTCTCAGTAATATAAATTACAAAATATACATTTCAATAACTGCACATCCATAAATTATTCAATGATACTAATGACACAAGATACATTATCATTTCTCTAAATTGCTTGATGTACAACAGTATACTTATAAATCATTAAATTGTGTTTTAACCTCTATAAAATTATAAAACAACTAATACAAAATTACAATTAAAAAATAACTGTCTTTGGAATTTCAAAGTGACCTTGAGACAAATTTTACCGCCATAAAATTTATCCCCTCGAATAATGTGCATAGTCGACAGAAGTTTTAACGTTATAACTAAAATATATGTTAAATAGAACATTTCCAAAATTTCTCAAAATTTCATGATTTAGAGGTTATGGTTTCTGAGTTCATTCAAATCGTGTTTTTTAGTTTCAATAAAAATATAAAATAAATAATATAGGGTGAGAATGCTAGTGACACTCCCCTCGTGAAAAGTTACCCCCTCCCCTACTTCTACCTGTTGTATTGAGGTTAAGTTCGACACTTCTTAGAGAAGCAGTTCATATTTACTAAGCATTTTGTTGTCGTTTCATATTAATTCAGCATTTATAAATCTTTAATGACTGCTTCTGGAACAATGTAAAAGTTATTTAATTAATGGAAGCAGAAGAATATTGTAACATTGAAAAGTGTGAATTTTAACTGGAGTGATAAGAGGCGAATTTATGCACTGTACGATTTGTTTATGTTGCTTGTCGATGAGTTAAACACTGGAATAACATTTAACAGTGAATAAAAATAATAATAAAAACAACAAACAAAGTTTATAAATATGGCGGATCGTCTAACACAGTTGCAGGATACTATAAATCAAGTAAAGTAACCTCTTGTTCTTTATTTTATGTGCAGTAATGAATATGATTATTAATTAAGTATGTTGTTATAGCAAGCGGAACATTTTTGTAACAGCGTGGGTATTTTACAACAGTATTCGACACCTAGTAAGTTTCCTGGTTTCGATCGTGTGGGAACACCTCAGCCGCATCAACCTCAAGAAGGTACTGTTACTTTGTAATTATCGTGTAAACTAAGTGTTTCCTTTTACTGATCTTATTAGTACTTTTGCGTAAACGTTTCGCTTTAGATTACGCAGCACTGTTCGCAACTTTAATAGCGAGATGCGCGAAAGACATTGATACTTTGATAGAGAGTTTGCCAAGCGAAGAATCGTCGCAAGAACTCCAAGTCGCGAGTCTTAGTCGCCTCGAACAAGAGAATCAAGAAGCTGGCGAACAACTGGAAGAAGTCGTGAAACAGGGAGAAGCGCTTTTACAAAGGATCCAAGCTGCCCTACAAGACATTGCTCAGAGCCAGTTAGATATGCAGGACCCAGCTTCTACGTCTGTAATCAATATTAATCTTAATACCGCTATGACTTTTAAACAAGAGAATGTTAATTCTGTAAATACAGTTTCCTCAAATAATGCGCATCAATTGTCTGATCCTTCGTCGAGTTCTATAAATCAATGATACATCTTCGTAACAGTATACATCTTCGAAGAAAATGGACATCAATGGACTAAGTGTGTATACGTTGCACTAAAGCGTTTAACTGTCCAAATAAATCATGAAAGATAAAGTATTTTGTATTATAAATAAATAACTTAATTATATTAGAATGTTTCATTTTCTTGTGTTAGGAAATTGTAATTAAAGTGTCTACGGTGATCTTTCGATTAAAACAGGATTTGAGTTTAAATAATTTTATTATCTTTTAAGCACTTTTATGAATGTATCTCGTGGGATAGAAATTTTTCCAATCATTTTCATCCTTTTCTTTCCTGCTGATTGTTGTGCTAACAATTTCATTCGTCTTGTGACATCGCCACCATACTAAAATAGGAGAAATAGTAATGAGGATGTTTGTAAGTACGCATAGAATGTAATAAACGATTCTTACCAATTTTGCTGTTACATCTTTTCTGTATGGTTTTATAGTTTCCCTTGCGAGGACATCTGAATTGTGTTTCGCTTGGATGACTATTTCAAACTGATGACGTGGAATAAGGTTTACCAGTTTTTCGCATAATTTTTTACCTACTTGAACAGCTTTACTGACATGTACAACGGTACTTAATTCTTCCACTGTATTGCCATTTAAAGCAATATTTATCTATGAAATGTGAATTTATAACATATCAGGAAATTAATTATTAAGTAAAATAAGGTGAATACAAATACCTTGATTAGTTCCGTAGGTTCATATCCGTATTCTTCATAATCAAAACTAGCATAACCAGAAGTCATATTTTTTAGATAATCGTAGAAATCAACAATAATTTCATTTAATGGCAGTAAAAATTGAAGCATCAGTCTGTCGTTTGCAATGTTTTTTGTTACTTGTTCCACTCCTCGTTTCTCAAAGCATAAAGATAATATTTCACCCATGTACTTCTCTATTGAAATAATTCAAGAAGTTCTTCCAGTTAATAATTACACTTATGAGAATAAACGTGTTACTGCTAAGTACATACCTGGTGTTATAATAGTTCCTAATACAATGGGCTCATAAAATTTAACTACAATTTGTGGATTAGGGAAATGTGCTGGATTATCAAATGTAATTTCTGAGCCACCGTGCTTCTTAATATTTTTAGCACCATGTATCGTTGCTTTATATTTTACATTAGGTACAGTAATGATAGGCTGAGCATCATATTCTTGCTCCAAACGTTGCATAAAAACTTCCATATGTAATAAACCTAAAAATCCAATTCTCCAGCCTTGACCGAGTGCAATGCTAAATTAAAAATGCATCAGATTTACTCTTTCCTATGCGAATGTTGCGCGTACCAACTTATGAAATCATTACGAAGCATACCTAAAATCCCTGGCAATAGACACGGAACTGTCGTTTAGCATTAACTTTTCAATGGCGACTCTCATTGCATCAAATTGTGACTGATCAGTAGGATACACTCCTGAAAAAACCATTGGTTTCGGTGTTTTTAACTCCAGAAGAGGTTCTGTAGACCGATCTTTTCCGCACAATGTGTCACCGATAAATGCTTCTTTAGAAGATCTCATATTACACGCGATGCATCCTACTTGCCCTGCAAATCTAATTAACTAGAATTTAATTCTTTTAACTTGATAATCAGCTTTCGATCAGTGCATATAAAATTATAAAAAATAGAAATTAACACTTACAACTTTTTTACAGACACTTCATTAGGCGTTAGCATTGAAAGAGTCATAACTTGATACGACTTTTTATTGTGCAGTGACTTAATGGTTTCACCTACCAATATCGATCCTTCCTTAACATATATTAAAGAAATAGCTCCTTTATATTTATTATGCCAACTGTCAAACGTTATGGCTCTAAATGGCATATCTCTAAATGCATCAGGTGGTGGAATTCTTTCAACAACAGCATTTAAAATGTTTTCCACTCCAGTACCAAGCTTGGCAGATATTTTTAAAATGTCTTCTTCTTTTATGGAAAATAATGCTTCTAACTGTTCTATTACCCTCTCGGGATTGGCATTTTTCAAATCGATTTTATTTATTGCTGGTATTATAACCAACTGATGTTTAATAGCTAAATAGTAATTAGCTACTGTTTGTGCTTGCACTCCATCGTTTGCATCAACAAGTAGAACAACTCCCTGACAGGGAACCAAAGAACGATGGACTTCAGCAGAGAAGTCTACGTGACCGGGTGTATCTATTAAATTAAGTAGATACTTAGTTCCTTTATACATATAATTAAGAGAAGCTGTCTGAGCCTTAACCGTAATCCCACGGTCTTTCTCAACTTGTAACGTGTCTAATACTTGTTTCCCAGAATTTTTATTTATCGCTCCCGTGATCTCCAAAAGTCTATCGGCAAGAGTGCTCTTGCCATGGTCGACGTGCGCTATAATGCTGAAGTTACGTATATTTTCTAACGGAACTTCGCATCCTTCACTAATTTTCGATTCCGTAGAATACCATTTCTTATGCAGATATAAGTACTGCCTAAAAGTAAATACATTCTTTATAGAAAATAAATTTAAAGTATGAAATCAACGATACCAACCTTTTCAATTTTGATACGTTTGTTTGTAAAAATTTATAATTCCTTTCTGTACAGCACATATTATAAATAAGATTATTTATTCTCATGATTTAATTGTAACTCTACTTATTTTTCACAAATACTATTTATTAGTACAAAATGTACACGTACATGTATTATAATTTATGTCAAACTTAAATAACATTATATTTGATTAATGACATAAGTTTGAAGAAACTTTTGAAAAATGTAATACAAATCTTACATGAAAAAAAAAGGTTCTAAACTTTAGATGTGTCGACTGTTTATTCCATGAATGTTTTATTGTGTATTTATATCATTAAGGTTAGGTCATGTAGCAGTTAAGTTATGAGCATGAAACTTTTGCTATCATAGTAGGGGAACCTCTGATCGAGAGTCGCTAGCTTGAGGGGCAGTCGAATTTCATGGAAAATAACCTCTGTGCGCATGAGCAACCAGCATCATGAAATTCTCTTCATAATTATGGGATGCAACTTGAAGTTTCGCCTCTGTAAATGTCCTATGAGTCTGTGTCCTAAGTTTATGCAGTTAACACTGTTCAATACGCCCCCTTATGATATTCAGTCAATATACGTACCTAAGTTAAATGAAATTGTCAACGTTCACATTTCTTCCCCATATTATTCTGCAATAACTAAATTCTCGTTCCTCTTGGAAACTTTATTTATTGTTACCTTGAAATATGTGGAAAATTTAAGATACATACAGCTTCATATCATCTTTATTTATGTTTGTGTAACAACTGTTCTTATTGTTTGTAAAACAGTGTGTGTTGTGTGCATCAGGGGAAGCTAAATTTTCTAAAAAGTAAACTTTTATTATCATATTTATTATAGAATTTGTAGAATTGAATCCAATGTTAGCTATATTATAAGTTACATTTTATAAGTGGTATTTGACGCATACTGTTACTAGACTTTAATGAAGATTTCCTGCTTTTTCACTGCTAAGTGTTTGTAGTCAAAATGGAAACTAAACCAAAAAGTGAACACTTACTAGCATTAAAAGGTAATACGATGTACAAAGAACCGGATATGCTATATTCGTTTTGATTTCGATCAAAGTACGTCAGATACTATTGCCTTTAGATTTGAAGAATTTAATGTAACGTTTTCAGTGATGAGATTAACTCGTCCTACTCTCGCAAGTCCAGTAGTCGTAACGTGTGACTCAACAGATCTTCCTGGTAATACGTTAAATAACGAACTTAAAAACGATTGTACTGCTTTACAAGGAATGGAAACTCTTACGGTGGGACAATTTATGGTTTTACCACAAAGTTTTGGGTATGTTTATTTTCTGTAACAACCGTATTATGTACAATTATAAAATGACCGACTAAAACTGCATATATATTTTTCCAGGAATATTTATTTAGGTGAAATCTTTTCAAGCTACCTGTGCGTACATAATGGTAGTAAACAATTAGTAAAAAATGTTACTGTTAAAGTAAGTAACACATTTTGATATCCTCGTTGCAATATAGATTTCGATACTTTAATTTTTGTATGAAATACTTTAATAGATTATTGACTTTTAATAAAAATGAATTATAACAGTAATTGTACCTGCGCCACACTAATAAATTACTTTTAACAATGTTTTATACCATAGGCAAATTTACAAACAAATACTCAAATTATTTCTCTTTCTGGTAATAGCGGAGAAATGAAAGATTTACCACCTGACAGTACAGTTGATGAAGTAATACATCATGAAGTGAAAGAAATAGGCACACATATGTAAGAACACGGAGTCAATAAATTATTGAGTAGTCCCTTTAAATATGTAAAATTGAAACAATAAGTACAAATATATTTCAGATTAGTATGTGAAGTAACTTATGCGCCTACGAATATAGGCGCTACTTCACAATCATTTAGGAAATATTATAGGCTTGAAGTGGTAAAACCGTTAGATGTGAAAACAAAGTTTTATAATGCAGAGGTAACATTTGTACGATGATAACTACGATATCGAATTATTTAATCGTTTGACAGAAAAAATTAATGAAAATATTATTTTCTTGAAGTCAGATGAAGTATATCTTGAAGCACAAATACAGAATCTTACAGCAGGTCCGATATGCTTAGAAAAAGTTTCTCTTGAATCGTCTCACTTATTTAGTGGTACAATCATTGCATATTGTTATCAGAATTAACCTAACTGTGGATGAAATTACAAATATTTTATTTTTTCAGTGACAACTCTAAATACAAACAAAAAGGGAGAATCCATTTATGGATCGGTTAATGTATTAGACCCTGATTGTAGTAGGCAGTATTTATATTGTTTAAGACCTCAGTTAACTTTATTAAAAGATCCAAAAATGATGCACAACGCGACAAACATTGGGAAGTTAGATATCGTTTGGAGAAGTAATTTAGGAGAAAGGGGAAGGCTGCAAACATGTCAGTTGCAACGAATGGTTTGTCATGTTATTTATTATGTTATTCACATTGAATCGATTTTTCTAGAATACCATTTTTCTTTTCACTCTTTAGGCACCTGAATACGGTGATTTGCGAGTCACTATAAAAGATATTCCCCCGAAAGTTTATCTCGAACAGTCAGTAACACTTAATTGTCACATAATAAACACATCGTAGGTATTTCAGTTGTAATAACTGTTCAATATAATATCACATTTTATGTCTTATTTGATTATATATTTTTTAGAGAAAGAAGTATGGATTTAATGTTATGTTTGGAATCTGGTAACTCTATAGCATGGTGTGGTATATCCACCACAAAAATTGGAACATTAAAACCAGGAGCATCAATTGACATTCCTTTATGTATAATCGCATTACACAGCGGTATTATAGTAAGTATTATTTTGTGACACTTAGAATTTTAACGTGTTCACGTATGCAAAAAATAATAGACGAGTATTTACTTTATAGCTGAAAATGATTTAATTTGGAATTTTAGTACGTTAAACAACTCTTGTAACCTTTCAGACTATCTCAGGATTAAAGTTGGAAGATACATATTTGAAAAAGACATATGATTATGATGATTTAGCGCAAATATTTGTGTATCAAAACCACTAGTCAAAAGTTCAATAAATTATTACAAATGCTTAATTAACTATGTAATTTTATAAAACTGTACCTAACTATGTATACTCTTAAATATAGTTAAAAATAATATTGTCTGTAACATTTTCTTCATAAAACGGGTCTTTATTCAAAATACGAATCTATCGTAGACATTTTTTCAGTTTCACTTACTGCTCCAACGGCACATGCGAGTAGAGTTTGTATATCTTGAGGTTCGTTCCCACCAAAGATATAACCGTTAGCTTTGTCTATTGCATTTTTCACTTGTAATAACAACGCTTGATTAGAAACATCCAATGGTACGAAATTGACGAGACTATAATCTTCTATCAGCGACACGAAAGCTGCATTCAGTTTTTTGTACCTACAAAAATTCAACATTTTTAATTTAGTGAAAACAATAAGATTAAAAATGTTATAAAAATTTATCATAAGGAAACTTACTTTGACGTAAATGGGTTCTCATCCAGTTTATCCAACAAATATTTTAAATCGAGCACTTCGGTATAAAAATCTAGATTAAAATCTAGGCAGTGACTGAACTTTTTCATTTCATCGAATTTTGTCATAACGTTGACATGAGGTAAACCTAGCTTTAACATGGTTGTGGTGCAAAGAATTAAAGAGGATAAATATTTACCTGTTGGTTAAAATATTATTAGTACATAATATTATTTTGTAAGTACAATAATAAGAATATATTCAGTATGCTAAATAATTACCAGCGTCACTACAGTGGTGAGAGTCTACCAAATGTACGCTGCATAATCTGACTAAATTTTGCCCCAATTTCTCAGCAATCGCACTGATCGAATTATGATGCGTATATAACTCAACCTGTTACGAACGGTATCAAATATTTAATTTAAAATATACATTAGATTTTGTATCGTAAATGTTATATGTAATATATGTACTTGTCCTGGACAATCAATAATGATATAGTAATCCTTTAAATTTAAAACTTTCGTAATTAGCCATTTCACATTAGCTTCCAAGAATTCCATACAATAAACCAAAGCTCCATTTGGTCCAAGCCCGTAATGTGTCATTACTTCTTCATGTCTTATTAGTTCAGATATATCTACTAGTGGTTTGTATTCCATGTTTTCGTTTGCTGGATCTATAAAAAAATACAATAGCAGTAAAAAGTTTGTTCCCTTTCCACTTGTACTAATAACATACACATTTCTGTTTACCAATATTAATAATAGCAACTTTTCTACCCAGTTTCTCCAAAAATCTTGACATAGCATAACAGTACGTAGTTTTTCCACTTCCGGGTGGACCAATGACTAGTTGGCCAAAAATTAAACTCATCGTGTTACTAATTATATTTTATAATGTTACCACGATTTTATTTCGTTTACAGCCTTGGCGATAGCTTTCAAAGTTTTCGGATCATAATTTTTCAAAGAAATTGATACTAATACAGGTTTATCCACATCGATCTGTTCCGTTATAAATCGTGCAGCTGCAACGACTTCGATATCATCTTTTCCAAACAAAACCCTAAAGAAGACACAAATTTATCATTAGATATATACGTTTATATAAAATATACTCATAATTACTTACTTCGTAGAAAATGTCCTGTTATTTAACTCGTGTACTACAGTTCCTCGGGATACTACCACCAACGTCCCAAACTTTTTAAACTGTGTGATAACTGCTAGTACACGATTACTGAAAAAATATATATACAAATATTTCACAATTATTATTAAGCAAATAACATATCTGTGATGTTTCATTACCTATAGATCTTCAAAGCAATATCAGTATGATGACCATCAATCACAATAGCACAAGCATGATTCTTCATATTTCCTGAGCTTATCTATACGAGTAACACTATAAATGTACACAACACAAAGATCCAATTAATAATATCAACTTACTTCGTTAAATTCAATATGTTTACATTACATTACATATATATCATCAATCACACGAAATCATGAAATAATCATGAAATAATCTTAGACTTAAAATTTCAGCGTTTTTCAAGATGAGCGTCCACTGCGCATGCGCAAGGGTGTTGTCGATTCTATGCATGCGGTTTCTTCTTTCAATTTTATCCAGTGCCCTGAAAAAATGACGGAGGTGTTGTCATCGAAGGAGCAGCAACGTTGGATTTAAATAGTCCTCAAAGACGTTCAATTAAAGGACACGTACGTCAAAGGTACTAATTAAAGTTTTACCTCTACGAGAGTACTTTTCGACACGAATATCAGAGGTTAGAACATAAAATTTTGCTTAAAGTCGAAAACCATTTCTGCACACATGCGCAGTCGCATAGTTCTGTATGCACGCATGCGCAGTGGATCGGTGACGGTTAGAGTTTCGAACCTCTTGCATCTGTAATATATGATCATTATTTCTAGTACTTTTTTTTATAAATTGTAAATGTTCATAGTGTCTTTGTTATAATTATTGTATAATTTTATCGTTGAAACGAAAATATTGGGACGAGAAAAATGTTACGAGAAAGTCTGCATAAAATTATGAATTATAATTTATACGTAGCCCTCTATCGGTGACTGGAGAAATTTTGAAACACGTAGTCAAAGTCGGCTCTACAGTGATTCTTGTCCAACGGATAATCCATATTACAATTTCACGAGTGTCGCGTGTTTCTGGTCTGTATCGTGCATTTATGAATTGAAAATATGCAGTGATATGAATATAAATATACGTTGAGAGAAATATTCCGTGTGCCATGAGAGTTTGCATGCGTGTACGGACACCGTTTTGAGGAAATAACGCCGCAGAGGTGTACGTGTGGGATTTCAAAACGGACTGGTTTATGTTAGAGACGATGTCATTATTCAATAAACCGAAGAGGAATATCCGACGTCGACACTTCAACGACGATGACGAGGATAATGAGAACAGAATGGAGGTGGAGGACACGCAGCCAGTTAAGTCTAAGACAAAGAAGAAAGATAAACCGAAGCAGACGCTTCTTAGTTTTGGAGAGGAGCTGGAGGAAGGTACACTCTAAATATGTGTATACGTATATATACCCATAGATGTTAACAAATGTTTCATAATACATTAAACGTTCATACGATATTCATTCGACGTTCGTTTCTGTGTGTATGCATACACGTATGGAACCTTTATGTATTAACACATTGCGTACCGGCCAGTTTTCAGGAATTGTGCGGATGGCAATTTTCAGTGAGGTCAACTTATATCATTGTACATAGAAAAACTCAGATATATTGTTATGTAATATATTTTAAATAGATAATCAATTCAAATCAAATTTTATATTTTTTCAATGCTGTGGTAATTAGCGAAGTTGTGTAGCTAAGTGTCCTTATGAAAAAACAAGATTTCTCACTACCGGTACGCAATGTGTTAACGGTCTTATTTTTAATATGAGAAGCCTTCCAGATTTGTGGAAGAGTGCTATGTTGCGAATTATAATACATCGGGATTATGAGAACTCTTTACATGATATGTTATAAATGTCAGTGAATTATCGTTTGGTTTATACTTGCATACGTGATAAAATTGTAACTTTATCCTCAGCGTTATATAGTTTCTACTATGACCTCGTTTTAGAAAAACTTATATTACTAAGATTGTATAATCTTTGTTGCCTGTCAAAGGTATTTAATTTGATCGTGCATTGTTCACGAGATGAGCTCTGGGATGGCACAGTGGCAAGAGGTTATTGATAAATAGCAAATTAGTATCGAAAATGAGGCGAGAAAAGATAAAAACTGACCAGTGAGACTCGCATTCCTTCTAGGGCTCATCTCGTAAATAATGTGGAGTAAAATATAATTGTAATATTTTCTATTTCGTATGTGTCAATAATGTAATGTTTTGCAGCGGACGATGGTGAAGTCTTTAAAGTGAAGAAATCATCGAGGAGCAAAAAGTTGATGAAACAGCTAGATCATGAGAGGAGAAAAAAGAAAGGTGAAGAGAAAATGCAAGTGGACTCTGAGCAAGCGAACATGTCCATTAAACAGGAAAAAGATTTAGAAATAAAGACAGATGATCTAGTAGTAAGCTATCTCTATGATGTTTTATTAGTATTAAAATTTCTTCTATTTATATCACTTAAAACGGTTCACTCTGCAGTTTTTGTATTATACATCTTTGTACTTAAGCGTGCCCCTTTTGTAAAGTTTATTTTTGGAAACTGCTGCTTGTCAGGCATAAAATTTGTCTTCAACTTATGTACGAAGTATAGATAATTAAATATAGATTTTACGTATTAAATGTACCTTAACATAACATGTGCTTTATCCGTATTAAATTATACATATCATACGTGTTGTGCACTATAAGAGAAATCTTATTGTAAGAGATTATCAGAAGCTTTCGCCTCGATATTTAATAATGTTATTTTTCCAAGGTACAGAAATACTTGGAAAATGTTATTTCGACATAAAATATTATTTTTGATGTAATATAATTTTAATTCTGTTGTTAGTGATCGTTTAATTATCAATGATTCTTTTATTTTTCACTAGGTTAAAATAAAAAATACTGGACCCTTAATCTTAAATGGACGAGCTGCATTAGCAGCCGGAAAAGATGATTACACGTCTGATGAAGAAGATGACGAACCACGTAGTCACAAATTCAGAAGGAATACAGATAAAGCCGATACTATGAAGATTCTACTTGAAAGTATGTCGTTGATTTTTGTTTTTACTTTTACGGCAAATATAATGTCTATTATTTATACGTTTGTAGGTGGTTGTATACCTGATGCCGCTATGATTCACGCAGCTAGAAAGTGTAGACAGAAAGCAAGAGAATTAGGAACTGATTTTATTCCTGTCGAAGAGCAAAGGTAAAAATAAACACAAAATAACAGGAAGCCAATATACAAATTATCAGATAAATTTGAATTTCATTTTAAACATAGTACACATTATTAAATTAAATATGCATATTAAATGTTATAGCGATGATAAGGGGAAATCAAGACTTATCAGGGAAGAAGACCATGATAGAAGCGATGACGATGATTCTCAGGATAGAATCGATATGACTGTTAACACTGAAGCTCGAGATAAAGAAAAAAGAAGAGAAGCATTCCTTGCTTCGCAAGCACCAATAAAACGTTAGTTTCTTCTTGTTTATTATACAGTAATACTTATAAACACATATAACCTATATTACATGTCACATGTTGTACATCTTTCTTTCAGTTTCCGATGATGAAAGTGAACACGAAAACGAAGAGGAAGAATGGGAAGCTCAACAAATCAGGAAAGGTGTTACAGGGGCACAGGTGATATTTCATTCTGTTTTTACAATTATGTTTTAACACATTGCGTGCGGGCCATTCTGTTCATTTCAACTTCTATCAGTTACGTTCAATTCATTTATTTATTCAAGAGTTTCCATTACAAATAGAAATACTTCCAATCAACTATCTACTTTTAGTACTTTTAGTACTTTAGTACTACGGCACATGAAAATAGTACTTTTACCTATCCCACGTACAATGTTAATAGTGCATTTATCATGACAACAATTTTATTTGCTATTACACTACCAAAAAATCTCCAGATTGCAGCGGTACAGCAGGACTCTATGATGCAGCAGCAATACTCGATGGGTATGAATGTGAATCAGATAATGGGAAGTGGAGTACCTTTAGAAATGGTAATGATGCCAGCTCCGCCACCTCCACCAACGATTCATCCACCAGACCCAACAAAAATAGTACCAGTCACTCCCCAAGAAGTTGTCAATAAGATGCGTGCAAGGTGGTAAATTATTAAAAGTCACATACGTCATTGACAGTACAAAGTTATTTCATTTCTGTGCGGTCCTAATGATTACTCTCCAATCAATTGCGAATGATAAATGTCTCATTTGTAGATTGGACAGTTTGAAAGAAGTACATCGACGTCATCAATTAGATCAGGATCGTTTAGAACAAGAATTAAGACAGACTATGAAAGAACTGGACGATGGCGAAATTCGCGCACCACAGCTTGCACAGCGCTTCAGATATTACCAAGAGTTGCGTGGGTATGTCACTGACTTGGTAGAGTGTCTTGATGAGAAGGTGGGTTTACACGCTGTCACGTTTTTTTATGTGCACTGGGGTTTTCCATGCAATTTTTGGCTGTACAAATCATCCAGCCACAGTACGAACAATGCATTTTTCTTTCTCATTGACTCAATGTTTTTCCTCTTCGAATTGTCTTTCTACGAGCTTTCTCTGAAATACAGTGATCGTTTTGTTGTCATATTAAATTACTATTATTTCCCTTGTTACTGATTTATTATTCGAAGCAATTTATAGAAATATAGGGAACGTAAAGTCATACCTAGTTTTCAATGTTTTCCATTATTTTATTATTAATTCTTTCTGTATATTAATGTATTTCTGTTACACTCCCTTCGTTTACAACGAAGAAAAATGCATGTTAAAGATTGAAATATTAAAAAAAGATTATAATGCATTCATCGTGTATAGTTATATTGCCGGGGGTCTGTATCTTCTCTGTATGAAAAATTGATTTGTAATAGAGTAAAAATTACTTTTAAGTATTTGTTAAAAAATTGAAAAAAAATTTAATATGAGTGGTAAGTAAGTTAACAGTGATTCTTTACTCGTTCGTAAGCAACAGACATCCAATGACTGTGGAAATATACGTTGAGTTCCAGCAAATGTTGTTAATCACAGATTATTCGTGTGGCAAAATTATTCGTTTGATTATCAACAAATGTACTCGATACGAACATTTTCTGGAATAGAAATAATTCCCAAGGTCATTGAATTAATACATTGTGTGAATGTTAACATGTAACTTTTTTGTTAGCTGCCTCTGGTTGTTGGATTGGAGCAACGTTGGTTAGATCTTTATAGTGAACGTGCGACTGAGCTAATGGAAAGAAGACGACAGGACACGAGAGATCAAGCCGAAGAAATTACTACAGCTGCAAGTCAGTTATTTTAGTATATTTGTAATATATTTAATATAAATGTCTAATATATATATACATTTATATATTATATAATATATATAATTGCATATATTATTATTAATTAGAAGTATGTATATTATATGATATATGTAATGGTATACATATATATATTAATATTACAATCAATTTACAATCGTACACATAGATTATTAATATATTACAGACATTGGAGATTTTTAAACAATAAGATAGTTTCTGCGAGTGTACTTTTAACATAAATTACTCCATAAATTTTAGGAGGCCAGCCAATACGAAGGGGACCAGAAGTTGAAGCTCGCATTCGTCGAGCAACAGAAAGAGAAGGAAGAAGGGCTCGTCGAAGAAGAGCCAGAGAACTAGCTCCTACATTACCCAAACATATTGATGGAATGTCTAGCGACGATGAAGTTACTGAACAGCAAAATCTTGCTTTTAAACAAACGAAAGGTTGTATTTTATCAAGTCCCGTAAAGTTTATTCAACGGAATTAATGACACCAGAAATATTTTAAATTGTTTCAAGTCCGTACACTTTTATATTTCTTATATCATTTGAGTAACGTACATTTGTTTATTTTTAATTTAGATGAAATCGATAACGAAAGCAAAGATATCTTCTTTGATGTAATGGACGAGTACTGCACATTGAGAGGAATACTAACAAAGTTGGAGTCTTGGAGAGAAACGGATAGAGATGCTTATATGGAGGCTTACGTTTCTTTATGTATACCTAAAATCATATCTCCTATCATTAGATTACAGTTACTTACATGGAATCCAATTATGGTAGTTGTTTTATGAATTTTTATATTACGCCGCAGTAGATTCTAGACAGAGGTACTATGCTTTTGTTTTTTTAGGAGAGCGCTGACATAGAAAGAACGAAGTGGTACAACACACTATTGTTGTATGCGTTAGATAATAAAGAAACTGAGGAATCGCTTAAAAGGGATCCAGATGTTAGATTGGTACCGTCAACGGTGGAAAAAATTGTATTACCTAGACTGACATGTAAGGTTATGTTTTATTATCTTCTGTATAATTGGAATATTGTTTTTGTTAACGCTAGGTTTATGGACATTTATTGTACAGAGTATTCCATGTCCATAAAAGTCGATATTAATAATATAATAATAACATAAATATTATTATAATACTATTATAAGATATAAATAAATACAATGTCTAAAAGTTGCCAAATTGAGGTAAACCTAGTGTTAAATAGTTAATATACTAATATAATAATTTATTGATTTTCTTTCAGCTATAGTCGACAAAATATGGGATCCAATGTCAACGTCACAGACATTACGACTCGTAGGCACAGTGAATCGTCTTATTAGAGACTACCCGAATTTAAATGATACCAGTAAACAATTAGAAACACTATTTAATACCATATTAGACAAAATTAAAGCAGCAGTAGAGAATGATGTTTTTATACCAATTTTTCCGAAACAGTCAGTATACGTTGTACATTATTTCTAAAAAATGTCAGTAATTTACCAGTGTTAACAATCATTTCATTTTCAGAGTTCTGGACACTAAACATCAATTTTTTCAAAGGCAGTTCTCGATGGCAGTTAAGCTGTTGAGAAATTTATTAAGCTGGCAAGGTCTTCTCGGTGACACACAGTTGAAAAACTTAGCTCTTGGTTCGTTGTTGAATCGATACCTTCTAGCTGGTTTGAGAGTTTCTGCTCCAACTGATGCTTTGTTCAAAGCAAACATGGTAAGCTGTCAATACTTTATTAAAAAGAAGAAATTTAACCTAAAATCCTGATGTTAAAATTATAATATATTTCTAAATTCCTTGCTATTAATGCTTATTTGTAATGAACAAATAAACAATTGCTTTATATTTCTGTAAAAGGTAATGAGTACATTGCCCCGTGCATGGTTGCAAGGCGAAACAATAGAACATCTAAGAATGTTTGCTACGCTTATACAACAACTTAGTGAACAATTAGACCAAGCAAATCCAGCGCATAAGTAAGTATGAATTATTAAATTAAATTCAATCAATTTTATTATACTTTGCATACTCTTAAGGAGAAATAACGAATAAAATATTGGTATAAAATTTCCTGTTCGTAATGCCAGAAACATGAAATTAACGAAGAAAATATAAATGCAATAAAGGTAAACTAATTATTTACCTTTACAGCGAAGCCTGGGAATATTCGAAGTCCATCCTGAAAATAATCAAGCCTTTGTAATGTATTAATTGTGTACGCATTTCTTGATACTTTACGGTACATTCATTTTACAATATTCATTAATACGCCTATCTATAGTTTTGTACGCACCTGAAAGGATCTTATACATGGCGAATTGCAGTACAATTTACTTGTGTAATATATAAGAATGTAATTTTGTATAGAAATAAATTAAATTAGATTCTGATAACAGTACACTTTCCAATGGCAGTTGTAAATAAGAAAGAACAGTATGTGAAAATAAACATGTAAATATCAGATTGTTTACCGTTCCTATTTATATCTGAAAGTAATAAAATTAATAATTTTCTAATGAAATTGGTTCTATTCCATTCATTGAATTGCTATACACGAATGAAAAATATTTCTTTGCTTTCAAATATGACATTAATTTTTTTTCAATTGATAAATTTATTTGGCAATGCACGTATAATATGGATGGTTGTCCTGATATTAATTTATTTCTATTGAAACGTGCGACGATGTACAATAATTTTTACATAAACTTTATATTTAATGTAATGTACAGAAATGGTGATACAATAGCTAAATATAATGGAAAGCTGAAGTAGCTTTGTCTTGTTTCTTTTAGACGTTATATTTATAAGACCATTATATTATTAAATTTCTCAAGAAGAAGATTCAGGCGTAGATCATTTTTGTATAAATTATAGAGGATACGTGAGAATTTTAACGAAAGAGAATTTCTTCTATGATTCATGTATTACATAAAAATATACAGAGAAAACGTAATAGGCTAATTTATACGATTGAAGATAATTTAGAGAGGAGATAAGTTTTACCCACACAGATGAAGAAGCCCGTTCATGGGTCACAGAGAGATAGAGACAGTAAGGGTCATCTCTTGACTCCTATGAACTCAGTTCACTTTTGTTAAGCTATCACTGCACACCATGAGGTTTACAGGTACAGACTTAAATATTTTTATTTACAATTCCAAAGAAATAATTAACGGAGGCACACTTATAATTTATATTTCTCTCTAAATACATTAGAATTGTAATATTGTAATATTACTGATACATTGACAGAAGTGTATTAATGTTTCATGATAAATATTTATAAAATAATTTACAATTCCTTATATAAGTAACTGAAAATTTTTCATATAATTCTTGTAATTAAGCTGTGCGTATTTCATATTTGTACCTGCGTTACGTAAATATATCTCTATAATTGTTGTGTTGTTAATAATAATTCAGTTGAATAATCATATTACGATAACAAGCTTAACGTGATTTATTCAGGTAAATTCTGTGCGTATATTAATTAAGAAACACTTCTCTTACAGATATCAATTACACGTTAAAAGTGCTAGTACATAAATTGGGGATAGCTGCGTTTGTCCTTTTTGTATTGTTTAATAACAATGTTGCATACACCTTATTTCAATCAGGAAGAGAGTATACGTATTCTTACAAGGCTCTTTCGAGTTCCGGTGTTTTATTACCATCTCATGCGTCATCTTCTTGGGGATTTCATGGGAAACTTGTGATTCAAGCAGAAAAAAATGTAGCCACCATGCAGGTACAGTTTACGTACAGATTTATTACTTATAAAATATTGTTTTAAATCATGTAGTTATAATTTATACAATTTTTCAATCAGTTGGAATCATTGAAAGTGTCTATATGGAATGGTAACACGCAAAAAAAAGGAAACGATCAAGATATTACTGACGACGTAGGTGAACTTTTGAAGCCGTTCCAGATTACGTATGGAAATGGTTTGATTGAAAATTTTAGCACAGAAGCTGCTTCTCCTTGGTCCGTGAACATAAAAAGGAGTATAGCAGGAATTTTTCAATTGGACCTTTTTAATTTAGAAAACGAAGTAGCTTTCCATTCCATCGAAGTGAGTGATTACTTATACGTATTTGTAAAATACAATGAAATGTATGTTCCTAATATTATTGTAATTGTATTTATATCCTAGAGAAACCATTATGGTCAATGTAACATTGAATACGTTGCTAATCCTCAAGAACAGAACGAATGGTTGATAAGAAAATTTGTAGATCCTCGAACGTGCATTGGTCATTCTCATTACACGTGGTCCAATGTCCCTAAAATGATGTGTCCAAACGGTGATCAAGTATGTATTGTATATATAATTGAGATAAAAAAAACTAAATATTGCTTTACAAAACAGTTTAATGAAAGAGACTTAAATACAATCTTAGAATCCAATATTAAAATCCAGCGAAAGGTTGTACAAAGTTAAAATGAACGGAACCTTGAATGAAGTTTTATTCGTTAATGCTTCCGGAGGCATATATGTTCAACCATTTCAAAGTTTTGGCGAAGCTCAGTTTCATTTCACAAGGTAATTGAAAATTTGTTCGTTCCAATAGAACTCACTTGTTGTTTGTTATTTTAATAATTGATGTATATTCATTTTCTTGTGTACAGACAAATCTTCAAGTTAATTTCAGTGAAGAATATTGCAAATAAAATACCCGTTCAAAATTTACATTCTAAAGCCTTACAACATGAACTTCCAGAATTTGATCTCACTCAAGGCAGAGGTACTCCTGATAAACTTTCTATTTTCAAATCGGTAAGTTACATTTAACTTAATAGGTATTAGTACTGTCGTACCTAATTATTAATAATAAATATGCATTATAGATAGGAACTCTATTAGACAAATTGAGTCAAAAACTTGAAAACCCTGGTTTGGATACAGAGACTGATAATTTACATAACACTACAATTTCTGTTTTACTTTATTATCTTGGGATGTTGGATGTCACTGATCTACGTACAGCGTACGCCAAAATCTCAGGAACAAGTTACAAAGAAGAAACAATCCGGTACTAATTATCATTGGTTTCACAACTTCTTGTGTCGGTATACTGTTTCATCCTTTTGTATTATTGTAGAAACATGTTCCTCGAAGCTCTTCCACAAGTTGGAACGAAAGAAGCTGCACTGTTCGTACTAGAATTAATCCAAGATACAAAAGTATCGGAGATGTCTGCGATTCAACTTCTCACTCAGTTACCATTTCACATACGAAAACCTGATGTTCACTTACTAATAAGTCTTCAAGTGTTTCTAAATTTACCAGGAAAAATTTCTACCGAGGTTCAAAATACTGCAATCCTCACGTATGGGACACTGATCTACAAAACATGCTTATTGTATTGTCCGTATGAAATGTTGGATGATTATGTGCGTCTATATCTGGATAAGTTTACAGGTATATGATTTGTAGTACTTTAATTATTTCATTGAATCACGAATTTCCAATATTTCTTAACCTCTTATTTTTTATTATTGATGTATTAAATTATTTGTAGAGACAAAAGAATATAAGAGGAAAATGATTTGGTTAGAGGGGCTGGCTAACATACAATTGGGGAGAGTAGTTGAATTCTTAGAGCCTATTGCGAGTGGTAATAATGCAGAGTCACGTCACTTTCGAGTTCTTGCTGCCTGGGCATCCCTTCCAACTGCACCGCTTAGACCTGATGTTGTAAGTGTCTGATTTGCTTATACCGTATCATTAATTCTCATGGATTCTAATTTCTTATTTCAGATTTATCCAGTCTATTGGCCAATTTTAATAAATAAAACTGAACATTTAGAAATGAGAATTGCTGCGTTAACATTACTGATTGTCTCTAGTCCTACACCAAGCAGATTGATATCATTATATTGGTATATGCAAAGCGAACGCAATCCACATCTGTACAATTATTTTTATACTACCCTAAAGTCTATGGAGCGAACAACGTATCCTTGTTACATTCACATGTATGTACACGTACGGTATAAGACTTTTGTTCTACAGCAGTGTTAAACGCTCTGTTTTTATATCAAGTAATTTTTCTTCGCAATTACAGAGGCATTATAGCTGCACAATTTACAAGAGTCCTTAATCGATCACCGAAAGATCAATATTTAATTACTGGTAACTATTTATTTGACTACCAAGATACATACAGAAAATTTGGAGCAATGATAGATGGTATTGTTATTGCTAACCCTGCGACAAACATACCTGAAGTGTTGTATGTGACTTTTAATACCTATGGAAGTGGAATTAACATAAACCATTTGTCTGTAAGTAATAACTGAAAAAAATTGTAAATATTGTTACGCTGTTTCATCTATCAGTTTCATAAAAATTATGCGTGTACAGTTGTATATAAAAGGTGAAGGTCTTTTGCATTCCTTGTCAACGTATCTTGATGGTCCGTCACAAGTGAAGGATATATTGAAGCAATTTAAAATAGATCAGAAAGAAAGTGGTCCTGTTCATTTAGAAGTAATTGCTCGTATTCAAGAGAAAACCGTTCTGTGCCTTCATTTAAATGAAACTAACATCGTATCAGGATTTAAATGTAAGTGTATAAATATTTGTTCAAAATTAATGAACTATGTATAGCTTTTAAATATACTATTACATTATATATCTCTAGATCTCTCATCGTTGCCTAATAAACTGTACCACATATACCAAAACGTAGAATTTCATGTTAATCAGCAACGTATTAACGTACCTGTGACATTAGAATCAGTGCAGGTCACAGATTTAGGAGCAAACGCTAGACTCGCAGTGACCACTACATCATTGTTCTCAATGAGAGGAAACTTTACACATGTTGCAACTGGCCGTAACAATCATGTTATACTACGGTAAGTGTAAACAATAATATTATGCTTTATTTCAATGTTTCACATTATTATTTTGTTTCCAGTACATCCATTCATAGAACAGAAATGATTGAAAACTATAATCCTTTAATTGATATATGGCATAGCGCAGAAAGGGCACATTCTATTCATGTGTACGTTCCAGTCAACATTACGCTTGGCATTGAGGATCGTCCTTTTATTTCATATAATACTCCGGAAGGTACTAATAATTTAAAAAATAGAATTCATAATACTCTATAGTTAAAATATAATCTTCTTCTTCAATCACTTCCGTAGAGCATCTTAAAATGGGCCTTACGGTTCATGTCAGAACGACTACTAACCTAAGAGGTGCAAATGTTAAATCAAAATTATTGAAAGTCTGTCCTGATTGCGCTCAATTATATACAGTGAAAAAATCACCCACCTATAAACCAAAAGTAAGTAGACTTTGGTTATCCCTTTTAGTAATTTGTAGTGCTGAATAATTATTGCTTTCGCAGGATGTAGCTTTGTATGAAATTCAATTAGAAGAATTGGGAGGTCTGGTGTGTGTAAAACTCTTTGACTGCGAAACCACAATATCACGAGAGAAATTAATTCATGATGTGTTCTCTTCTCATCAAGCTAATTATCCGTACGTGCAGTTTAATACATTTTCACTTTCATCATTATACCAATCATGTTAATTTATTAATCATATCGATTCGTTGATTTTCAACTATTTTAGTATTTGGCCATTTCTGCAGTTTGCTTTCACAGCACTTAATTTCCTAGATTACTACACATACATACCACCCAAAGGTAGTTTTGGTTTAGCCGTTTATATTAGCACAATTGATACGAAGCAAACTCAAGTTAGTAACATTTCTATATCCTGAATACCTAAATTGTAAATTCTATATCGAGCACTTTTTATTAGGTAAGATTTGAATATATCAAAGGTCCGAACCATCATATATTATCCTTAACACGTCGTAGTGCTGAATCGTCACAAATTCTTCAACAATGGAACTTAGCTGCTCTTTACGAGATCACAAGTTGGGTCTCCGATATGATAAAACTGAAAGCAACCAAAATTGTACCGGGCCAACAAGTTTTCAAGGTAAACTGTGTATAAAACAAAATAGTCACAGTCATGTAAACATACCATACATTTTGGCCTTTAGTTTTGCTTAGAAGCAGAGAAAGAAATACCTTGGGAATGGAACTTTGTTAGTACTAAACCAAGTGAACCTGCTAAAATAGTACTAAATGCTGTTTGGGGACTTGCCGATACAGCGAAAGGTAAATGTTTTGGGTCCTCTGTAACGTTGAATTTGCTTGGCGAAGTCAGTAATGATCAGCTGCAAGAAGCGAACGAAGACAAATGGCCATATAGAGAATGTCGTGAAGAATCGAAGGGAAAACAATTCACACCGTTCTCTGACGCATGTTATGAAGTGTCAAAAGAGTTATCAACTTTGAGGAAATATCAAATCATAGCAAAACACGAGAATGTAATTATATTTATATATTTTATATATTTAACAGGTTAAGTGCCACGAAAATCTTGACCGTTTTTCTGTAAGGTTATTCTTTTGTAGCAAAACATAGCAGGAACTATTAATTATTTAACGTTACACTATTATCAGCTTAGTTATTAAACATTTTCATTGTACTATTTTCATTAATTCAGAAGCGTCAGTCATCAGTGACTGACATGGCACTTAACCTGTTAAAGAACTGTCAACTTGATAATAAGTGTGCAACTGTAATTAGGTACCGAAAAATCTAATGAAACTGGCCTGGAAGTTTCGAGCGTTTTATGATTTGATTGGTGGAAACAGTAGCTCAGATTCCATGTCCAAGGAATTTATTGTCACCGCAAAGTTCCCCAAGGAGTCAGATTTTGGTGAATTATCTCTGAACAACGATAAAGTGGTCATCGAATACAATTACAATTTCATCGACACCTTCTTAACAAGAACTAGAATTCACAAATACATGGACTGGTCGTTCGTGAAAGCATTTTTTGGTAAGCCATTATTCGTTCCTCTAAATAAACATAGGCAAATAGTTAATTATTTGTACCTGCAGAATTGATTCTATTTGATTACAGTACATTACCTGACTTAATCACTTCCAAATTTAGGCACATGTATTGTAACATCAGAGACTGTAAAGTCAATTTATAACGTGAGCTATTCGTTCCGGAACAAGCGTGAAGTTCTGTTACTTAGTCAATGTTATAATGAGAATCCAAAGTACGCAATAACAGCACGGAATGATTTATACGGTGTCAATATCAATGTCTACGATGAAATAGACACTGTACGAATAATACCTAACGAAGTTGGAGGAACTTTGTACAATAACACAAACTACATTCCGTTGCAACAAAGCTACATGTTTCACACGTTGGGTTCCAAGAAGTAAGAAATTTTTAATATTTTCAAGATAACAAAGCGACAAATTTACAGTGACTATTGCTTCGCAGTTGATCGTACGTAATATTTCTGTGTTTGGGGATAATTATATTTTAATATATTATTATTATATTTCAGAGTAAGATTGGATAATAGTACTATTGACATAATAGTTCCTAATCTATATTTATACATGCATTGGACTCAAGAACAGGTTCTCTTATTCTTCCCAACGTATTTATTAGAATTTAGCTGTGGCATATGCACATTACAGGTTACTGACAATAATAATTCATACGACAAATTATAGAATCTTTTATTAACATGTTTCATTGAATGGACGAAAATTTAATTTTAACAGACTCTTATTAACGTGGACATTTCATAAAATTCTGTATCTAAAAAGCAATATTTGTTTATAATAAATATGAAATTGTAATTTAAACAGAAACTGTAAATATCAGAAAGTGAAGTGTGTATTATTCGCAGAATAATGAAACGAAGTCACATTAATTACCCAATTACTCTTCAAATGAAATATATTTATTTAAAAAATAAATGATACAAAATGGCAATATGTAATCACAAACTACGAATATCAGTTCAATGTTTAACCCTTTGAGTGCTGAATACTCCCAGTCAAAACATTCCGTGTGAATGGAATATTTTTTTACTCACCTTAAGGTTAATAAACTATGTTAATTTATACAATTAAGTTGCAACTAAATTGTAATTGTAATTCAGTTTCACCAAATTGAATATTGCTAAGAAACACGTATATTAATCACATACACTTGTAACTGTCACTACACACGTGTGAATTTGGAGATCAAACAATACATATGTACGCTCACAGCACTCAAAGGATTAAATAAAATACTCTCCTATGTAATATTAAATAGTTATAAATTAGCATAACTTATTAAACGAGGCACATAACAATAATACTACTGCAATCACGTTTTAAGGCATGTATCCAAGTGTTGATTCATCAAGGATTCCGATATCAATTCCATACAAACAGGACAAGGATATTTATCACTCTCATCAAATGATGTTTCTGAAATTGTTTCTGACATTTTGTCATTATCACAAACTGTTAAATCTATTGAGTCGTCATTAAATAAGCTTCCAATGCAATCCTCCAGATGATCGTTTAAACATGTCCCAGGAGGAATGAACACATTACACACCAGACACTTAAAGGAACCTGTTTCTACTATTTTATTTGTTTGAGATTTTGAAACAGGATCGGTGACTTTCGACTCCTCAATTGAGGATGATAGATCATCGCTTGATTCGCTACTTACAGAAATTATGCTATCATTTTTAGTCTTATCTTTCACAGTACTTTCTGAAAGACATTCATCCAGATGTTCATTTATGTCGTCAAGGCTGAAACTTTTATTGCACACAGGACAATTTGCTATTTTTGAATTATCTAACTTAGGTTGCTTATTCGAAGACATGTCCGTGTCAATTTTTCTTTTCTGCGAAGATGATAAATTCTGTTCTTTCACTGGTATTTTAGTAAAATTAGCTTCATCGATTGACTGTTTATCTGTCGTCATTAAACATGAATTTACATGCTTATTTATTTCACTATTTGATATAAAATTACTACACACTGGACACTCTATAAGTTTTATTTTCTCAGACGAGTCGTTACCAGTTGACGTTTCTATCTTGTTATTAACAGGCTTGTTTACTGATTTTCTCGGTACCTTAGCAGTCATATTTGAGTTACACTGTTTGTTACCGTTACCAAACTTATCCAGCAAGTTACTTTTTCCTGTATTAGAACCACCGAGAGAGCCAGAACAGAACAATTTAGGCATAGTAGAAACTGAGGTTGTCTTCAGTGAATTATTTGAACTGCTTGAACCATTTGGACCACTCGTACCCCAGCCATAAACATTGTTTGTATTATTTCCAAGTTTCTTTAATCCATTTGATGGACTTTGAATATTCGAATGCGGTTTAATTGTTTTTGGAATATATGGTGATTTTGACGACTGAACAGGCTTTGGTAAATTATTTGAACTACTTGGACCTCTTACACCCCATCCATGAACGTTATTTGTACCATTTCCAAGTTTCTTTAATCCGTTCAATGGACTCTGAATATTTGAAGGTGGTTTTGTTTTTGGAATATATGGTGATTTCGACGACTGAACAGGCTTTGGTAAATTATTTGAACTACTTGGACTTCCTACACCCCATCCATGAACGTTATTTGTACTATTCCCAAGTTTTTTCAATCCGTTCTGAGAATTCTGAGCGTTCGAACTTGGTTTAATATTCTTAGCAGTAGACATGGTCACCGATTTGACAGTATTGAAAGTAGATTTTGTGAGCCAATTAGCCATACTGTTCGCAGAACCATTACTTTTCAGAGTAGGGTTCGCTTTGTCTTTGTTTCTGGGTCCCCTCACTTTAAAGTTTTCTGGCTCTTTAATTTTAATGAACTGACCGCCACAAGTTCGCTGATGTTCCTTCCACCAAAAGTCAGTTGGACCTGGTGCACGATTCATGGCTCTACGGACTGTTCCGAAATATGGAGCCCTTTTCTGACAAGGGCCATCGCATCTCCACCAATGTTGCTGATAGAGTTTAACTTCATCGTGGAAACTATGATATATCTGTAAATAAAATATATTCTCAGAATATCAAATTGTTTACTTCATTACGAATACATACCGTTATTTTTGTTCCAGCTGTTTTGTTTATTCTATCCATGTGCTTACAGAACTCTGGCCCGTGTCCATCTCTATCGCGATTATTATTTGTAAGAAACAAATATCCATGAATCATTTCGTGCTGTAATACAAAAGTTATTAAAAAAGAATATTGTATAATAGTAGAAAACATTAAGGAAACTGTTAGTAATAACTTCTTACCAACAGAGTCTCTACAAGATCTTTTCTTGGTCGTAATTTTAACAACGGCGCGCTAAGTGAGATTACACATTGTCTATTTCTTGGATGAAAAGAACATACTCCGGCGCAACTATATTTCAAAGAAACATTGATTACACGTCCAAACCAATAATTACAAATTATAACCGTTGTATACAAACATAACCAACCTCGTCATTCTACTACTCCATTTAACTTCTACAGGCAGTAAGACATTCCAGAAGAAACGTTCATTGAATTGCATGAATAACGTATAAATATTAGGCGTCGGATCGATTAGTTCCAACGTTTGATCAATCAATGTCCTCGGTTTATAGTTCTCCTTATCTTTCTAAAAATATATAATACATTATTAAAATTTAACATTAAATATGATTTATGAGACGATTCTCTACAGCGAATATTCTATGAATTGCAATAATATGCCGAACAAAATATATTTATTTAAACTTACATTCTTTGGTATAATTGCATTTTCAGTCAACCCAAAGCAATTCTCCTGCTGATATAGCTTACGTGCCAAATCAAGATCACGAGATTCTTGAGATTTTATCATTATTTATAAATATAAACAGTACATTACAGGAACTAATAGCACCTATTTCTAGAACAGATCATTCCAATGCATCAAATAATTTTTTTAATTGAATTTTCTATTATCTGTATAAATGTCAAATATTGTTTAAAAGCATCTGTTCTTAATTAAATATATATATAAGTGCATTGTACTAAATAAATGATAAAAATTAAAAATAAAAAGATAATAAAATGGTAATACTGAAATAAAATTAACGTTTATAACCTAAGTCAAAAATTTTTAATTGGTTCCTGCAGGTACTCTGGTGACATTCACTTAATGAGAAGGTACCACTCACAATATGAACTTTGACCTGTGATTAAATAAAACATAGAATTGAGTATATAAGTACAGTCTAGGCACAAACGAAGTTAGGATAGAAATTATGGAATTCAGTGACATTTGTTCTGAATTACCGACTGTAAAAAAAAAGTTATATTGTTTAATATATTAATTTATAATATTTATTAATTGTTCTGGAGAAATATTTTTATTAGGGAGTTTTTGTGGCGATTTGTTATTCACTGAGTATTTATGAAAGGAATATTAGGGATGTTAACAAAAGAAGTTCAAAATGTGAGGTTAGAATATAATGGATAATAAATGGGAATGGACTTTATCTGCAAATGAAAACTGAAGACAAATGTCACCGATAGTAGGTAACATGGATTAGTAATAAAGTAATTATAAATTATTTGTTTCATAGCAGTAATATTATCATAATATTTCGAAGATTAAAAAAACAATTTTACAATTAGAAATTAAACAATAACGAATGATAAAAAGAAATTGATTGTATCTACAAATAGTAACCAAAATGAATGTTACCGATAATCGGTAACACCAATTGTTAACAAGGGAATTTTATAATATTTGTTATACCGCACTGACTTTATTTAAATATCACGTAAATTAACAAAAGAATTTTACAATCCGAAGTTAAAAAATAAATATTAAGGAATTGATTTTAACTACAAATAGTAACTTCAACTGTTACCGATAATCGGTAACAAGGATTATTATCAAGAAAATTTTGAATTATTTGTTTTATTGCTGTTATGCTATTTTATTATCACGAATATTAACAAAAGAATTTTACAATTTGAAGTTAAAAATAACTGATGATAAAGAAGGAATTGATTTTATCCACAAAAGGTAAATTCAAGTTTTACCGATTATTGGTATTACCAATTATTAATAAGTGAATTTTATATCGTTTAGGTTTATATCAGTAATATTATTTTAATATCGTGAATATTAACAGAAGAATTTTACAATCCAATGTAAAATAATAATTAACGATAAAGAAGAAATTGACTTTATCTAGAAATAGAAATTGACGTTATCGACACCTTGAACACACCACTATGGTATTTTTAATAATAGTAAATTACATTTTAAATTCTTTTGTTAACGCTCTTGATGTTCCGTTGTGAATAGTTAATTAAAAACAAGTCGTCATAGAAGGTGGTCAATAAAAATTTTTCAACATGATAATTTAGTGAATATTGTAAATAAATATATTAAATAATGATACACACCACATATGAATATATTACCATAGTGGCTATTGCAGTTATTATAATTTATGTTAAATGAACAATTTGAAAAAAGTCTAATTTATAAATTTGACAATCAATTTAAATGCATAGACAACTTAAAAAAAAATAATTTCTATCATAATTCTTCTTTTCTTGAGAAATGTGTTACAGCTAAAAGAATATTATTTTATAAAATATAAATATAAATATAATATTATTTCATAAAATATAAATATAATATCATTTTATAGATATTTTCCAAATATCAATCAACTCCAATGTCATTTACAATATCACATGGCTTTCATCTATACAGATTTTTACCTTTTATTAACAATTTACATTTCCATTTTTCCTACTCACAGATATATTTGCATAATGACTGTCGTTCCAATTTTTTTCTCTTTATTATAAGCAACGTTCAAAATTTGTTCACATATGTAAAGTCATAAATCCAGTAAAGATTGTATAAACTCGTGTCACAAAAACTGCTAATATAAACATGTCCCTTATAAAAAAGAAAAATCTGGTTGTTTAACAAACTCGAGTAAAGGTGTCATAGAAATCCTCATACGGATTACCATGTCTTCCATTGCACATACAGTCTCTCGTACTTCGATCAGGATCCAACGAAACTTCTCAATCATTCGTGGAGCTGTTGCTGTCATTACGCTTTCTTATTTTCATCATTTCCAAGTCTCTTCAAAAAGCATGACTAATGTTATAAATATTCCTGGATGTAAATACTATTTTTCTTTAAAAGAATTACCCTCTATCCGATGATACGTATTGAGTGGTCTCCAATCAAATAATGAAAGGTTAGGTTTCCCAACAGCTCAAACATCCTCACTTTCACAACTTCTTGATCAAAATCTTAAAAAAAACATGATTAATGTTATAAATATTCCTAGATGTAAATACAATTTTTCTTTAAAAGAATTACCAATCCAATGAATCACACTGTCTCCAATCAAATAATAGGTTAGGTTTCCCAACAGTCCAAACATTCATTTTCCACAAGATTACAGGTTGACCACCAGGAACAATCCTCTATTCTTTTATTTCAATAATCCATTCAACAAGCTAGAGCTTTCCAGTTTCAGAGCTTTTCAAGTTGGCCATAATATATCTATCTCTTTTAACTAATTTTGTTGACTCTCATTCAATTACCTTCTTTTATTTTATTCATTCTTTTATTCCAATTACCATCCATCCAACAAGCTAGAGCTGTCCAGTTTCAAAGTTGACCACAATGTGCCTGCGTTTCACTAATTTTGTCGACTCTCATTCCTCTCGTTGCCACCTGGTGCTGGGGGAGGTGGTGCAGGTACAATCTCATTGACTACTGGATTCTCATGATTTTGTTGAGCTTGATCCTGTTGCTGCTGGTGCTGGCTACGGTGTACCTCCAACGCCAACAGTTTTTGTCGCTTCTCTTCCATTAGTCGTTCACGGTGCTTGTGAATGTAGTCGTTCACATTTGGCAGTCCCATGATCACGCAGGCTGACAGTGCTGAACGACATATGTTCATTCCTGTTGCTCCATACCTGTACAGAAGGAAGAAGCAATTAATCCTTTGTACTGCAAAGTTTTTTAATAGAAATAGTTTTATTTATATAAATAGTTAACATTTTCTGACGAGATATGGACATTGTGATATAAGATTTATTTATT